AAGTAAAGTATTTTCCTGGGAGCGTGCCTTTTTTTTTTTTGAGACTGAGTCTTGCTCTGTTGCCTGGGCTAGAGTGCCATGGCGTCAGCCTAGCTCACAGCAACCTCAAACTCCTGGGCTCAAACGATCCTTCTGCCTCAGCCTCCCGAGTACCTGGGACTACAGGCATGTGCCACCATGCCCAGCTAATTTTTTCTATTTTTAGTAGACAGGATCTCGCTCTTGCTGATCTCAAACTCCTGACCTCTAGCAGTCCTCCTGCCTCAGCCTCCTGGAGTGCTAGGATTAGAGGCATGAGCCACCACGCCCAGCTTACTATTTTGTTTTTAATTTTAATTTTGATGTAATCAAATGCCTGAAATTTTGTCTTATGGTTCATGCTCTGGAAGTTTATCAGATACTCCATTGTCCATACACCACAATATTCTAGATTGTATTCTATTAATCTCAAAGCCTTTCCTTGCATATTTAGTTCTGGAGCCAACTTTCATGTGGCATTGAACAGGGCTCAGCATAGTTTTTCTCCATATAGAGAGGTTTTGTTGTCTTTTTTTGTTTTGTTTTGTCTTTTTTGAGACAGGGTCTCCCTCTGTCACTCAGGCTGTAATGCAGTGGTATCACCATAGCTCACTGCAGCCTCAAACTCCTGGGCTCAGGGGATCCTCCTGTCTCAGTTTCCTGTTTAGCTGGGACCACAGGCACACACCACCATGCCTAGCTGCCTATGTCTAACATGAACGCTGAAACAATTCATTTTCCCTGTTGACCTGTCTGCCATCATGACCATATATCAAATTTTCTCTGTGTGTGAGGAGGGATCTGTCCCTGAGCACTCAGCTGTTCTGTTTGTCTATTCTTAAGCCAAAGCACACTCTATCTTTCTTTTCTGTTACTGTTTTTAAAGTTTACTACGATGACTTTACAGTATGTCTTAAAATTTGGGAAGATTTTATCAGTTGTTGCTGGATACATTTTGAGCTATATGTTTTGGTGCTTATATGTTTATGATGAATATAGCTTCTTATTCTATTGACTTTTTTACTTATACACAATTTACTTATACACATTTTGTCCGTTATAATAGTTTTTGTGTCTTGGATTCTATTAATAGTTTATCAGATAAGATTAACAGAGCTCTTTGGGGTCATCTGTGCTTAGTATATCTTTCCCTATCCTTTCATTTATTTTAAGATAATTGTAAACCTTACCAAGCTATCTAATCACTCTTACTTCCCAAACCTTTGTCCAAATCTATGGGATCTGTTTCTCTTACTATTTAAACACTTCTTCCTAAAGTGTCTTCAAGGTGGTCTTTGTGTAGCAAATCTCTTGAGGGTTTGTATGTCTAGTTATATTTTTATTATACCCTCACATTTGAGTGACAGTTTGGTTGGATATAAAATTCTAAGTTCATAGTTATTTGCCTTCAGTATCTTAAAAATGTTATTGTTATTTCCCCATATTCAAGGTTGTTATTGAAATATCTGACAGCAAACTTATTCTTGCTACTTTTAATACTAAGGCTTTGCTTTTCTTGTGTGGGCTCTTTTATATTTTTGTTCTCAATGTTCTTAAAATGTATTATAATGGGATTAAGTGTGTTTTTCCTTATTTTCCCACTTTGACATTGTGTAAGCCTGCTCAGTCTGAGGTCTTTCATCTTCTTTTAAGTTCTAGGAAGTTTATTTCATCTCTTTAGGTCCTCCATACCTTACTTTTCCTTTCACACATCCCTCTTTCTGTCCTCTCCTGCTGCGTCCTGGGAGATTCCCTCGGCTGACCTCACAGCACACTAATTCACACTGCAGGCTCCCCACATGGCCCTTACCCCATTCATCATGCTGTTCATTCCTATTACAATGCTTCTAATACGAAATGGTTCTTCTTATTTTTTGGATAATTTCTTGTTCTTACTTTATATGCTAATGCCTTCCTTTTTCTCTTTAAGTATATTGAATTTGGTTAATATTCTTGGTCCACCTGTTTTAACAACTCTGCTTCATGTAATAGACACTGCCATTTGTCAATTTTCTTCTAGGCAGTTGTCTTCTCAAGTGTCTGGCTGTTTGGGTGTTCCAATATTCTTTTAGGCAAGACAGGTAGGGGCTGAGTCCAGGTTTCGATCTGTGTCAGTTCTGCTGTGGTCAAAGACAAGGTTGAGGGTGGGCCTTGGGATGGGAAGCCCCAGCACCCCAGAACCAGTGCTGGTGCCTCTCATCTGCCAGTCAGGGAGGCACCTTAAGCCCTTATGGAAAAGCAGCACGTGCAGGAGGCTGTCTCCCTAGTTTGTAACCCACCCTAGTTTGTAACGCACTGGAGTTTGCAGACAGAGAGGGGGTGGGTAAGTGTCCAAGTGCTGCGGTTAGTCCACACGCATTTTCATCACTTTGCCATCTGAGAATGGATCCTGGCCCCTGATGTCACCCAAGGACCCCTGCACTGGTGCCCGGGCTGCCTCCTTTCTTCTTCACTGAAGAGGCAGACACCGACTACCCCAAGGGAACATGTATAGCCAGGGTGGGGCTGTGACAAGTGGGACTTCAGAAGCTCTCCTCCCCCTGTCCCCTCACTGCCACCTCCAGCTGTCTGCCCCACTCCCAGGCCCCATCACCTCTGCTGCACCCCAACATTTACCAGTTCCAAGTCACATTCAGTGCCCCTAAGAGTTTAACACTTTGCATGTTGGTTTCTGGAATCCACATTTTCCTCTTGCTTTTCTATTTCTCCAGGCTGACATGGGGGTAGGGACACAATAGCCTGTGCTATTCATCTTGGCAAGACATGATCAGCTTTTGTGTATCTTAAAAAATGTTTATTTCATCTTCATGCTTGAAAGCTAGTTTTTGGTGTGTTTACAATACCAGGTTTGCCGTTATAAAGCATTATTCCACCCTCTTCTGGATAACATCATTGCCATTGAAAAGTCTGCCGTTGGTTTGTCTTTCCTCTCTGGGCATCTCATTTCCACTCTATTTTTAAGATTTTTTTCTTTTGTGTTCTATATGATACATCTACATGTGGATTTGTTTATTGACCTTGCTAAATATATGTTTTGCTTCCATAACTGTGGGTTCATGTCTTTCATCAACTTTGGAAAAACCAGTAATTTCATATCAAGCTCTCAGTTCATTAATTTTCTCTTTAGCTATGTCTAATGTGCTAATTTAGCCATTGAGATTTAACAACTCGTGTCTCCTATCTAAAAGTTCTGTTTGATTCTTTTTCAAATCTGTATGGTCATTTTTGACATTTCCTAATCCTTGTTCATATTTTGGTTCCATCTTTTGTTTCTTTAAATATTTCACACATCATTATTCTGTACATTTCATTTGTTAATTCTAGTATCTGATGTTCTTGGGAGCCTAAAACTATTGTGACTTCTCTGCAGACTCTCACTTATGGGCCTTCTTTCCTTGTGTCTCCCAGCTTTTACTGGGAGCTTATATGTGGTTTAATTCAGCCTGTCTGCCTGCAGAGGGCTAAAGGTGGGAAAGCCTTCCTCCAGAGCAGCATTGCCCTTGCTTCTGCTTAGAATCGGTGGGTACTGCCTCCTCAGAGGAACCTTGCAGAGTCCTGGCCTAGAGCAGTGTTGGGTTCAGCTCTCCCTCCTCTCTCTTCTTGGGGAACTAAGGCCTATTTTCCAACCCCAGCCCCAACTTCAGTATTAGTCCCAAGGCTGAACTGGATTTTTCAGTTGTTCTCCCCTCACCATTCTAATGTCAGCTATTGGGTTCTTCAATTTGTTTTTTGTTTTTAAGCCTTTAGAGATTTCCCCTGCTTTTTTTTTTTTTTTTTTTTTAGAGCCAGCAGTACACTAAAAAGTACATTTATATTAATTTATCCAAGATCTAGTTGTGTTTCAGTGGGGGGGATCTTCAGAGCACCTAGTCTGTGCACTGCAGAGGTTGGAGACCTCCATCTTGGCCTCTGTCCCCACCCCCCTCCCAAAGTCCCCTAAGACACAGGTGGGTCCCTTTCCACCCTCCTTATCCCAGCCTCTCAGGAGCATCCCACATAGTTGACCACTCCTTCCTTCTCACGGCTGCACTCCTTACTGGCACCTGCACCTCCACACTGCCCTGGTTCCTCTCCTCCCTCTGGGTGCTTCTTCTGAGGATCCCTTGCTGGGACATTCTCTTCCTTCCAACCATGAAAAGCTGGAATTCCTCAAAATGCATCAGTGCTTTTCCCTCAAGGCCTGTGGTGCCTCTTGAGTACAAGAATCACATCCAAAGCATTGCTGTCACTCGTTCATCTGACACACATTTACTGGGTGATGACCATGAGCCAAGAACTTCTCCAATGACCCTCAGATGCCCTCCTCAGATGGCACTGGGGCTTCAATGCCACCACCAGGGAGCAGGGGGGTGAGGCACCGCTGAAGGGCTCCTAAACTGGGCTTGGGAAAGGGGGAAGACTTTGCAGAGGGAGTGTGTGTCCACACTGGGTCACACACAGCAAAGGAGAAGCCACCAAGTGGTGGGGAGTTGGGACAGAGTCCCAGGGAGACTGAGAGCTCTGCAGAGGCCTGGGCCTTGACCGGTGAGAGCTCAGCAGCTGCAGCAGAGAGAGCTGGGCGGTGGCAGATGGAGAGCAGAGACAGGCTAGGGACAGAGGAGGGTGGGGGCCAGGGTGGGGGTCCAGGATCATGGTCCAGATTTAAACTGGCTCCTGAGGCCCATACCTGGTATCAGATGTGCTTTTAGGAAACTCTACTTGGGCTATGGAGTGGAGAACAGACAGGGCAGAGGAGAGGTAGGGCAGCCTGGGCCAGGGTGGGCATGTGGGACAATACTAGACTTGGGAGGGAGAATCACGGACCTGCTAAGGGCGGGGACAGGTGGGAAACGGCTGCCAAGGACTACCCCCCAACGTTTGGGGATCCTCCTGTTTGAGGCCCAGGCCACTCTGATCCACAGAAGATGGTGTCTGGGTCTGGAGGGGACAGCCCAGGCCTCCCTGAGGAGGGCACGGGGCAGGAGGAGCCCGAGAGGCCAGCGCAAACTCTGTTAGCATTTAATAAAGACAGAAAACAACGACAACACAACAACGAGGACTAGCTAAGTGGGTCACCAAGCCCTGCAGCTCAGGCCACGCTTTTGGACAGTTCTCTGATGTCATCCAAGAAGCTCAGGTAGAACTTGCGGCATCTGGGGTCCAGGTCATGTTTGAGGGCCTCAAAGTCTACGGCAGAGACCACAGGTCTGACCGTGAGGCCACAGCCCGCAGCCCACCAGGCCCTGTCCTGGGAGGGGCAGGGTAGCCTGCTGTGGAGCTGGGGGGCCAGGTGGGAGGCACAGCCTGTCCCAGAGGCCCAGTCTGAAGGAGAAGATGATGTCCTACTCTCAGAAAAGCCTGGTTTAGGGGGAAACACAACCCGGCTGGGGGACCTCCTCAAGCGTCAGGGAAGGAACAGGTTCTCCCCGCCCCGGGCGCCCAGCCCTGGATCTCGGAACGGAGGCCCAGCTCACATCTCCTGAAGATCATCATGTCCTCCTTCCTCAGGCTGAAGCAGAGGTCAATGAAGTATTCCTGCAGCATCGCCCCTGGATGGGCAGACAGGTGGGTGGGCGGGGGCCTGGGCCCTGCCCTTCCAGGGCTGGTGCTGGGGTGCCCCACGCCCACGGACGGGGGCAGGCAACCAGTGCATGGCTGCTGGGGCTGTCCTGTCCACCCCCCATGGTATGTGAGTTCAGAGTCTGAGCAGCAGGCTCGGAGTGGTGGGACATGGTCTGGGCTTGGTAGGCACTGGGGCCATAGGAGGCACCATCAGGCTAGCACCTACCAATGAACTTCATAGCTGCCAGCTTCAGGGTGCTGTAGGGGCTGTCCAGGTAAGTTAAGGCCTGCATGAAGAGCTGGTGGTACTTGCCAAAGTTGCTCTCCACCTGGGGACGGCAAAAGACATGGGCTGCGGCCAGGCTGGGGACGCCAGCCCCACCTCCTACTGACCATGCCTGCACATGAGAAGGGCAGGCCCCCCGTCCAGGTGCAGGGCAGGACTTGAGCCCCACAGGGCTGTGGTGGGAGGGGCTGGAGTTGCCCAGCTCTGCACGACCAGCTCTTCACTTGATCCCATCTTGGGTGGGACCCAAGGATCTGGGACCTACCACCCAGATGCCCCTTTCTGATATTGTCCTGGACATGCCCCAGGCAATTGCCATGGGCTCCTCCCATGCCTTGTCTGCACCCCACCCAGTGGCTGTTGCACCTCATCTAGCTCTGAGTCCACAGCCAGTCAGAGGCAATGGGATGCCAGGCCTGGCAGCTGGGCGAGGAGCCAGCTGTGTGCACCAGCTTAGCCCAGCATGGCTCATAGCTGTGCTCATGCCCTTGCAGAGGTGCTGGGTGCATGTGGGGCCTACAGCAGGGTAGGGGCCACTGTGGACCCCTGGCACAAAGCCAATGCTAAGGTAGGCGGGCGGGCAGGTGATGGAGGGGACCCAGGAGCTGCCCTTGACCTGCTAGATCAAGCTCTTCTACGATGAGTGTCCCTGAGGCTTTTCAATTTTAGAAACCAAATTGTCTTACTGTCTAAGCCTGTTTGAATTGGCTATTCTGCCACTTGTACTACCAAGAATCCTAATGAGAAAATCACCTTGGCCCTTGGCCCCCCAGGCCATCACATCGCCTGCACTTCTCAGACAGGCCCTTGGACTACTGTCCTTGCTACACCGAGCATGGTCTCCTGGGCCACTCCTAAGGTCACTTAGTCCAGGCGGCTCCTGCCCCACCTGGGACCCACCAATGGGCTCCCCCCAGGCTGGGCTGACTCAGACCTGCCAGTGCTCTGTGGCCCTTGCCACCCAAGCCTCCTCCCTTCCCTCTCTTCTTCCACAGGGGACACAGCCCTGCTGGGGTCTAGGCTGCAATTACAGCCACAAGGCAACCTGGGGTCTGTGAAAACACTCCCTCCAAATCCCAGACACGAGCCGTTCCATTCACCTTCTAGGCAGAAGAGCATCTCAGGTGTCGGCAAACCCACACGCTGGAAATTTGCTCATCAGCCCATGACTTTAAAAGACACACACTTCCTCACCCTGGGCCCATGCTGGGGGGTGAACAGTAGTGCTAGCTACCACCCCACCTCAGGGCCCAGGCTCCAGCCTCTCGGGACACTTTCCACACAGACACCAGGACGCCCTGGAGGTATGGACTCTGAGCCTTGGAGTGGGAAAAAGTTCACAAGGGTTTGGAACATTGCCAGAAAGCAGGATGCTTTAAAAAACATCCAGGGGCAAGAAGAAAAAAAACCAAAAAATATATAAGCACATATCCAGGAGCTGTGCTCAAAAAAAAAAGGACAAGTTAGGGGAGCAGCCATCGGCCAGGTTGCAGCAACTGTGCATCAAAATGCTGACAGGAACGGTGGCGATCCTGGCTCCCTGCAAGAGCTGAATCTGCTATGGGCCAAGTGGTGGCCCCGCAACAGTCACATGCTGAAGCCTGAGTCCCCGCGACCTCGGAATGTGACCTTATTTGGACACAGGGTCTTAAAAGTGATAACCAAGTTAAAATGAGGTCAGTAGGGTGGGCCTTAATCCTCCATGCTGGTGTCCTCATGAGGAGGGGAGATTAGGACACAGACTCATGGGAGAACACCGTGTGGGGACTGGAGTTAAAGGAAGGGAGGAGAGAAGCCTGGGACAGCTCCTCCCAGCCCCTTCTAAGGGAGCACGGTTCTGCTGACACTTTGAGCTCGGACTTCAAACCTCCAAAACTATGAGAGAATCATTTGTCGTTCGTACAGCCACTCCACTTGTGGCACTTTGTGACAGTGGTCCTGGTGAGTGAAGACAGGCTGTGACTTGATCACGACACTCCAAGGCATAGAGTTAGCACAAAGTGAACAGAAAGGGAGTGATAACATAAAAGAAGTGAAATTATAATTTAATACATTTAATTTTGTGTTGGCATTAAAAAATAGGGAAGTGGTTAAATATGGGTATCTTTTTTCTTCTACCTGTGATTTTTTCAAAATAAGGTACTGCCATGCACCTGCTCTGTCCATACGATCAGGGAGAATAGGTGGGGCTGTGAGTGCACCACACAGCGTGGGGGCCAGCGGCTTGAGAGGGGTCAGGGGGGCCAAGAGAGCTATGGGGACATGAGGGAGCCATCAGCTGTGGCTGCAGGTCAGCCCCACGTCCCCACCCAGCCGCCGGGTCAGGCACGGCTTCAGTGGTGCACTCCACATGCTAAGTCCAACAACTGACTGCAAGTAGAGAGCAATGAGCTACCTGTTTAAAAATACTAATGATGAACACATAATCCACAGGTTCAATTATTACAAAATGCCAGATTAAAGGAACTTTTAACAGTGATTACAGATTGGGTGGACATGTCAGGGTGACTGTGAGACAGGAAATGCATGCTGGCTATTGGAACAGAAAGATATGATTTCTGGGGAAGATGCTGACTTCTGAGAAGGAGAATTTGCACAACGAGGCAAGTGGAAGTCACCGAGGACAGAGCCCTGCGGGCAGCACCCAGCAGCGTGCTCTGACCCAGGGCGCTGGTGGACAACCAGCTTTGAGACCTGTGCCGGCCTAAGACAGCAGCTGTTTCCTTTTGGGTCTGATAAAACTACAGAACTCCTAGGAAGGCGTGAAGATGGGGAGATCTCTGAAAACTCAGGAAGGTCTATGCAGGGAAGGAAGAACAATGAGAAAAAGGAAGGAAACGAGCGTCTCAGGCAATGAAGACACACAATCCAACGATCACGTTCATAGTCCTGATGCCACCGTGTCTTCCTCACAGTGCTCCAAACACTTGGGAGAAGCCGATATTTGAATGTAGGATTTTAATTAAATGTTTAGAGTCAATACATCTGTAATCAATATGAAAACATTCAGGAAATTTACCTTGTTAAATGCATAAGTTTTACTTTATGAATTGTCTTAGTGATGGGCAAATATTACATTAGTAATGTTGACTGTTTAGTGCTTTCAAAAGTGGAGAGTGTAATACATGCATAAGATTAATAAACTGGGTTTAAATAAAATGTATACAAGTGGTAGTGCATGTACCTCACCATGCATAAAAATACCTTCAAGATGAAAGAATCTGTTAACAACAAATTTCTCTTAACCATGCCCAGCTGAACTGGCTAAGGCAAAAGGGGAACCCCCTCAGGCAGAGCTGGGCAGGGACGGAGCAGAGCCCTGAGCGTGAGACTGAGGCTCCGGCCACCTTGGGCACAGACCATCTCCCAGGGTTGAGCTGGGTGGCGCCGGGGCAGCCTAGGGAGGAAGAAGGGCCCTAGCATGAAACAGGCACCTTGAGAACTGGACTGGGATGGCGCCGAGGGAAGGCAGAAATGCCAAAAGGAAGTTTGTCTCTATCTTAACCTCTTTTCTAGGGTCACAAAAGGATTTATAGTTTGGGTTTACAGTGCTGCATTCTAGGGGGACCTCAGAGCTGGGAAATGCAGGTAAAAATTTATTCAAGATCAGCAGCCAACACGAAGACACCCAGGACTGAGTCACCTTGAGTGCAGCTATGGGGCCCGCAGTGCAGAATGACAAGGTGAACACGGGGAAACCCACCGTGAGCGGGAGTCGGGAACCACAGCAAACAGCAAGACCGGAGCCTCGAGAATTGTGGATAAGCACGCCATTCAGAAAAGATAACGAGGTGTTTTGTAAGTGACTACATCTCTGGCAAAATGAGGCCTTGTAAGAAAAGGACTAGATGGATTCTAAGAAGGAAGAACAGGCTGACTCAGAAAAGAAGCAAAAGAGAAACAAATGGAATGACAGCTGTCGACAAGACAAAGTCAGTGGATGTTTTAAGAGCAAATCAGAGATGGAGGAACATAGAATTAGTGAACTGGGAGATAAATCTGGAAAAAAATAACCCAAAATGCAGCACTGAGAGATAAAAGACATGGAAAATATGACAGCGGGATCAAGGCACCTGGACTGCAGCAGACCGAGAAGTGCCAGCGCACGTCGCGTGTGAACGATCTTTGTGCCTCTTACCGATTTTTCTTTTCTTCAGCCTCTCAGCACCAAGTCCGCCTGTTTTGCCTGCTCTGTGAAAATGGATCTGAGCCCTTTGAGTATGTGCCTTTGCCAGAGGCCTTGGGGTGCAGACACCGGAGGGGCACAGCAGGAGGGAGCGGCCAGGCCTCCCAGCTCAGAGCTGGCTTCGGGGCTGCAGGGTCTCCAGCGCTAGCTCAGCAACCCGCGGGCGGCCAGACTAGGTGGGACAGGTTCTCCCGACACCCGACCATCTCCCACTTGACTTCTTCCTGTGAGCGACTTCTCCTGGCATCTCAGAGAGCTCTCGTCCAATGATTTCTGCACTACCTGTGTCTCTGCTACACAGTGAGTTGCCCAGGAGCTGCCCCAGCCCCAGGGAATGGCTGTTATGCGTCACATTACATCACACATGCTAGCGTGTTACGTGTTATGGACACGTTATTCCTGCTAGTCTTGTATCCTTTAGGGTTCTCTTTACTTTTTTTTTTTTTTTTTTTTTGAGACAGAGTCTCGTTTTGTTGCCCAGGCTAGAGTGAGTGCCGTGGCATCAGCCTAGCTCACAGCAACCTCAAACTCCTGGGCTCAAGCAATCCTGCTGCCTCAGCCTCCCGAGTAGCTGGGACTATAGGCATGCGCCACCATACCAGCCTAATTTTTTCTATATATATTAGTTGGCCAATTAATGTCTTTCTATTTATAGTAGAGACGGGGTCTCGCTCTTGCTCAGGCTGGTTTGGAACTCTTGACCTCGAGCAATCCGCCCGCCTCAGCCTCCCAAAGTGTTAGGATTACAGGCGTGAGCCACAGCGTCCGGCTCTCTTTACTTCTTATTAGCCAATCCCTTGTAACTCCAATCCCCTGAGGCAGTTAATCATTCTTTTTTTAATTTATTTTTTCGAGACAGGGTCTTACTCTGTCACCCAGGGAGGAGTGTAATGGTGCAATCACAGCTCACTGTGACCTCAAACTCCTGGGTTCAAGTGGTCCTCCCACCTCAGCCTCCCGAAGTGCCGGCATTACAGGTATGAGTCACTGTACCAGGCCAATAAATCTTTATATTAAGCTTTCCCTGCTCAAATTGCTGCGCACTGCCCGTCTCCTGAGTGGACTATGACATATACAGACACTCAGTCATGATCGTGATGTAAGGGTCAAGTGTAGCAGCCCCTTGGCTCCCAAGGTACATGCTTCCACTGTTACCATCCCCAACCACAGATGACAGCCTGATGACATACAGGAGGTAACCAGCATCCCACTGCCCACCGACAGCACAACCCCGCCCATCCCCAAATCTCATCTGTGCAGATCTGTCTCTGGGGCCACCCTTGATGCCAACACTATTTCATAGAGCAAGGAGGAATTTCTTTTCTTTTCTTTTTTTTTTTTTTTAGAAAATGCTCTCAAAGATGGTAGAGAGCAGACTGCTCTAATAAGGAACAGTCGGAGGAATTTCTTAATAAGACCCCAAAGTACAGAGCACAGAAAAGTAATACATTATAATTGGAAATTTCTGTACAACTAGAGACACCATAAGCAAAGTAAAAGGACCAGTCGCTAACTGCAAAAGTATTTACAATACAAATAACTGGCTGGGGATCCACATGCAGAGTGTATGAAAAATTCATATATATGTTTCCAAGAAAAAGACAACCCAACATAAAATGGGGGGAAGGTCTGAAGAAGCAACTTGTCGCTGAGCAGCCCTGTCTGGAGCTTGCCCAGAGGCCACGCTGCCCCGGGAAGGCCCAGCTGCTGCGCTGCAGGGCTGCTTGCTCTGTCCCCTTCCCTGCAGAGCCACGGGCAGCTCTCTCTGAGAGCCTTTGCTGGAGCAGATTCCCGCCCTCCCCTGCCTTGGAGAATGGCCTCCAGCGGACTCCTGCAGCTCTCCCCACTTCCAGCCTGGGCTTTGCCTCCTCCAGGAAGCTCTCCCCAACTGCTCCTGTCCAGGAAATGTGGCCTCTCTTGCTGCCCACACCTACCCCACACCGCCCACTCAGGACCGCCAGGCCCACACTGGCTGGACAGTTTAGGAGGGTTTTCCCTGGGCTTTCCCCTCCTTCCATGTTTTCCTCCCTCCACGTTCAAGCAGAGAGTGGCTCTGCCCTTTGTCCCCTTGGAGGAAGGTGGTGGCGGGAACAAAAATACAGATAATGGCAAATCTTTCTGCCTTTTGTGTCTCACAAAGCCTGGGCCCCTAGGAAGCATGGCAGGTGTTTTAAAGCACACCAGTGGAGAAGGAATTCTTCCAAAGGCTGGAGTGACAGGCAGGGAGGGACAGTATCACCCGCCTGCAGCCTTGGCCCTGCTAAAGAGCCTGGGACCATTTTCCCAAAAGCCAGGCTGAGGCTGAGGGTCTGCTGATTTCCCACTGCGTGGAGCAGAATCAGAGGCTGGAGGCAGGGCTTGAACCGGCTGCTAGAAGACAGAGGGTGGTGCTTCTGCTCACCCCGCTTCCCCTCTGCGCATGCACAGGCTCCTCACAGAGGGCGGGGCCATGACTGTGTGCAGGGCGGAGGCTTGGCCCCTTCTTGGAGTACGGGGAACTAAAAGGCCTTCCTCATGTCTGCATGGGGGCCCCAGTGGGTGCTGTGTCTCCCCTTGATGGGACATCAGACACACAGTTCCAGGCACACTATGGGTGCCTCCTGCTTGGCCCCCTGGAGAGGACCTGAGCTCCATCACTCAAGGGGGAGAGGACATCCCCCAGAGAGCTGGGGTGACTGCACACAGCCCCCAATCCCTCCTCCAGGAGGGCGCCCACATCTTACTGTGAAGATGAAGATGTCGTTCTCTGCGCTCAGACCATGGCCCCATGCCAACTTGCCAAACAGCTCCTTCTGGAACTCCCACCTCAGCAAGATGGCACAGCGCAGGAAGGTGAACTTGGTCTTCTGTGGGTGCAGAGCAGAGACATGGGTCACCAGTCAGTGCCCCAGCCCTCTACTCCCTGTCCTTATGCCCCCTGGGCAGACCCTGCGGGAAGCAAGCTCCTGCAGCCTCTGTCCCTGGGCACTGAGGGTCTCGGGCGATGCAGCCTGTACATGTCCATCTGCCTGCTGCACCCGCCAGTAGGAAAAAATGATCCCACCTTGAAGTCTTTACTCCCTAAGCCCCATGGGTGTCCTGCTCTAATTCACACCAAGCTTCCAGGCCTTCCCAACACAAAGGCCAGAGGGAAGAGGGGCAAGCATGCAAGGAAGGGACTAACAGCTCACCAGCACCCAGCAGTCACTGGTCCCTGGTATCAAGAAGCCTTAGAAAGTCCCTGTCCTGGGCTGACTTGTGTCCCCCAGATTCCTATATTGAAGTCCTGCCCCTCAGGACCTCAGAGTTTGCCTGTGTTTGGGAAAAGGGTCTTTAAAGCTGTGATTAGAGTAAAACGAAGTCATGCAGGTGGGCCCTGGTCCAGTATGCCTGGTGTCCTTATCAGAGGAAATGAGGACACAGACACACGCAGAGGGATGACCCTGTGAGGACATAGGGAGAAGATGGCCATCTACACGCCAAGGAGAGTAGCCTCAGGAGGAGCCAGCCCTGCAAAGCCTTGATCTCGACTTCCAGCCTCCAGACCGTGGGGCATCACATGTCTGCTGTTTAGCCACCCACCTTTGGTACTCGGTTGTGACGGCTCTGGCACACCCATACAGTCCCCATCCCAGGCTGGCCTCCCACCCCTTGCTGAGCTGGGGGGACTGGCACCCCCAGTTTTCATTCTCCAAAGCCCACAGCCTCCTCCTGAGTCCTCCCTGCCAGGGTCCTGCCTGCGCTCCAGGGATCACCCCTCTGTCCTCTGTGAGGCTGTGCTCCTCAAGGGAGGGCCACCTCCTCTCCAGCACCTGTGACAGGCCCTGCTCACAGCATTTCCATTGATGCTGCAAATGTCAGTGGACCCAGACGACTTTCTGCCTTCCTCCCAGGCTGGGACTGGCCATGCCTTTCTGCCTTTGCCCATCTGCTCAGAGAACGCACTGCCCGCCCTTGCTGGCCTGGGCAGGGGCCGGCCCCAGCAGCCTCTCGGGTTACCTCAGCCCTCTCTTGCTTCTGGACTACAGCTGTGTCCCTTGGGCTTGATGGATCTGGGGCACAGGCAGAAAGTGGGGTGGTACTGAGGAAAGCTTGTGGGGAAGAAATAAGAATTCCAAGCAGTTCCCCAAGAGCTCACGGAGGGGTAAAGAGTTGGGGTGGAAGGAGGAGGAGGCCTCCAGGGCTCAGCGTGGGAGCCCCTGTCTGGGGGAGAGGCTAGACCTCCCCCAGAGCAGATGGGCCAGGCTGGACTGTCTGGTCATCGGGGTGAGGGCTCGCTCTGTGGAGATCGGAGACTGGGATGCGATGCGGGTGGGTGGGGGGACAGGGAGGCCCTAGAGACCAGTGGTGCAGGCTAATGGAGGAATGGTCTGCACAGAGTGGCGCCCAGGACCAGCAGAGATGCCGCCTAGCCTGTGGGCAGGGGTTGGGGGCTGGAAGGCTTCCCTAAGGAGGTAGCACCGGGACTGGTCCCCAGGGCCAAGCAGGTATGCAGCACAGAGGTGAGAAGGGGCACCTGGCGGCCTCACAAAGGCATGGCCTGCAGGACCCAGGCTGTGTGCTGCATCTGGTAGGTCTAAGGCCACCCATACAGTCCTCTGCGGGGAAAACATGGTGCCCTCCCTGGGATGGGGGCATCGGGCAGGCAGGGTGCAGATGGGTGCCCTTGTGCAGGGCTGGGTTTGTACCACTGGCCCCAAGGGAGGGGAAAGAGTGGAGGCAGGAAGAGTCTGGATGCCAGGCTCCCAAGGCTGATTGTATGTGTTGGGGGAGGGGGTGTCTGAAGCAGTGGAGATTCCCAAGGTCCTGGGTTGACAGGGTGGGGTGGGGGTGGTGAACCTGGAGGCCCTGGATGGGGTCCTCTCTTGTCCATCTGCCTGCTTGCTCATAGGCCAGGCCCAGCCCTCCCTTCATGGCCCAGGTGGCCTCTCCAGGATGCAGCCCCACTCTGGGCTCTACTCACTGGGCTGAGTCCTCCTCAGCTGCCCACCAAACCAGCCAGCAGTTGGGTCCCCCCAATCCATGCTCCCCTGCCTGCCCCAGCATAGCCAGGGCCCACTCACCGTGATCACGTCGGGGCAGGGGTCGACCAGGTGGAAGAGCAGTGGCACCAGGGCCTGGAAGGCGAGCATCTCAAGCTGCTGCTGAAACTTCTTGCCTCCACTGTACATGACATCTCCAAACAGGAAGATGGCTCCTCCACGTACCTCTGCCCTCTCCTGGGGAGACAGGCAGGCAGGCCTTCCCCTCAGGCAGGGAACAAGCTGAAGCCTCTGTGGCTCTGGACACGGCCTTTCTAGCCACTGCCATCTTTTACCTTCCTCTCTGCCCACGGACTTGAAGAGTGGCCGGGGCCTGCCCTCACTTCTCCCCCACTTCAGCTCAGGGCCAACTGACCTCACCCAGACCCCATGGACCATGCTCCCCAGTTGCCCCTCCACACCTGACACTCCAGCCCACTCCCCTGTCATGAGCTGCTCTTTCCCCCTGTCTGGGGATGCCTTCTCTCCCTTCAGGCTCCTGCAGGTTTTCCTGGCTCTGCCTCTTCTCCCTGGTCCCCTCTGGGGTTTCTCCAGGAGGCCTGGAGTGGACAGCGGACACACTTCCACTCCTGGGCAGACCCTGCTACCAGATCTGTCACTTTTCCGCTCCCTGACCATGGGCAAGGCTCCTCCGGTGTGCAACTCAGTTTTACCTTTTGTAAGTAGTGGCTAATAACAGGGACTTTGCCTTTGGGTGGTGGAGAAGAGGGAGCCCAGCACCTGCAGCAGGGCCTGGAGTCCTTGGCCTTGGTCCTTCTGCTGCCCCCACCTCCTCAGGCTTTATCCAGCAGCTCCCTGGACACCTCCAGGAGAGACTCCTCCCCCTTCCTGCCCTCTAGGACCTGCAGCATCAATCTCCCCCTGCCCACCTGGGGCTGGTCCTTGACTGTCCCACACCCAGTGTTCACTCCAGCACCGGTGCCACCCGAAGCCCCTCTTCACGTTGCAGCCCCTGCTTGGCTTAAGCCCCCCTCACTCCTTGCTTTTGCTAAGTTACTCAAAGCCCTGGAAACTGCTGACCCTGCCCCCAGGCTTACCCACCCCATCCATTTTCCACCTGGCCGCCCAAAGGGTCTTTCTCAAGGCACTGGGCAGGGGAGGCCCTCTCTCCCCACCGCAGCCCCCAGTGCCCCCCCAGGGAAAGGAAGCGTAGCGGGCCACCCAGGCAGAACCTCCCTTCCCCGGGGCCAGGTTTTCTGCTGAGCAGCTCTGGCTGCAGACTCCCCAGGAGCCGGAAGAGCCGCTGGGCTGCCCCGTGGGTAGGCGCAGGAGAGACTGTGCAAGCACAGGCCAGCAGTGCTCCCTGCCACTGCCCTTCTGCACCACACCCAGCCTCCCAGCCTACTCACATCCTCGAACAAGATCAGCAGGTGCTGTGCGATCTTGAGGCTGAGGGCGCCAACGCCCTGGACGCTCAGGTGGTGCAGGATGTCGCCCAGGACCCACATCAGACCCACGGGGTCCTCGGGGTTGGGCTTCAGGAAACTGCCTAGCAGCTCCAGCAGCCGGTTCTGGAGCAGGACCTCCTGTGGGGAGACCCAGCCTTGCATGTGGGACCCCTGCCCAGTGTCACCCATGGACTCCTGGGCATCTCCATCCCCGGGCCTTCCCTAGTGGGGTGAGCTGGCCAGACTGTCTGGTCACAGCACTGACACATGGCCCTGGGCTCCTCTGACCATCCCACCAGGCACTAAACTTCCTGAGCGGGAACGGATCACTCATCTCCAGACCCCATCTGGGAGGGTCAGGGTTTTTGAGTGGACAGATGGGGAGGATGGAGTCCCTGACTGAGGCTGGCTCCGGGCCCGCTCCCTGCCTCCCTTTCATAAATGACAGGGAAGTGGCTAAAAAGCACGGCAGTTTATCAGGGGAAAGTAAAGCATAGGGACCTCAGTTCCAGCCCTCCTACTGCATCATGTGGGGACCAACATGTTCTGGGGGGCACAAAGGACAAGAGGAGGAAGGACATCTCACTCCAGCTAGGTGTGAGTCCTCCATCCTGCCTGAAGCATGAACCAAGGACCTGACAGGTGGCTTGGGATTCCTACGTGGAAAAGAGGCCAAAGTCGCTGTCCTCAGACCCTCCCCAGCTCAGAAATTCTAAACTCCCAGCCCTATCCAGTGCCGCAGGGTCTCCCAAACACCACTAGCTTCTCTGTCCCCAGGCCCAACTTGCTTCCCCCACTGCCCCTTCCAATGCAGTTGCCTCCCATGGAGACTCTTCAGATGCCTTCTGTGGTCTTCCTAGGATAGACCTGGGCATCTCCCCACATCTCTCACCTTCTCAGGTTGCATCAGGGTACTGCTGAAGCCCTTCAGGCTCAAGGCCTGCACCAGCTGGTTGGGATTTTTCAGGCCCAGGTTCAGGAAGTTATTCATGGTTCTCCGAGTTGCAAACTGGGAGATATGTGGGCTGTTGAGAAACTGACAAGAGTTGGTACAGTCAGCTCACCAGTCTATTATGGCTTCCAGGGAAAATCAGCCTGCACCACAGCATGAGCTAGTGTGGTTAGACACAAGGAAGCACTTCCAGACAGCAAGAAGATATGATATGTAATGCAGAAGTTAGAATGCCTTAATACTAGAGGACAGGAATGGAAGCCCAATCTCTGACCTTCCTAAAGGACAGAATGCTTTGGTGATGACTGGGGAGGGAGGGACTGAGACGCTGACCTCTGTGATGATGAGGATGGCCACAATGTTGTCCCGTTCCTCAGTGCTCTTCAGGGAGATGGCTGCCTGCCCCAAAACAGCCTTGATCTCACAGCCATAGTGGGCTATGGCCCTGTCAGATGGAAGAGGCAGGCATAGGTCCCCAAGGGCCCCATTCTCAGACCTGGGCCAGAGGGAGACCCAAGACCCCCTCACTCCTGGTAGACTTCACTCACTTAAGGAGCTGACCCAAGAGACTGAGTAGGGGGTACAGGGTCCCAGTGTGGGAGTGGGGTACAGGTGGGAGCCCCCTCAGGGTGTGATCTTGGTGCCCAAGTTTGGTGCTCACCTGGCCAAGAGGGTCACCCCCTCTGTGTAGGTTTCCAGGTGCTCAAAGAGCTCCCAGCCCTTCAGTAGCTTGAGGTGGGCGAACACCTCCCAGTTGTCGGTGGTCCAGAAGAGGCCCTTCAGGGCTTCCAGGCACATCCTGGGGGCAGGTGGAGAGGAGTTTGGACGTGGAGGCAGAATGAGGGGTTTGTTCTCCACCTGGAGCCTGGGTGAGTTGTTGCCTGCTGGGCTCCCCTCATTCAGGAGTCTCTCCTGGCAGCCGTTGGACACTCTGTCCCCTGCTTCCCCAACCCTAGACTGCAAGCCCACAGGTGGGGCTAGAGTCCCTTCCCTTCTGGGTCCCCAGCACTTAGCCCGGGGGCACCATGTATGTGGGAGGAGCCAGAAGGAGGGGCAGATAGGGGTCCTGAGAGGGTGAGGCTTAGCCCTATGTCCCACCTGCTGGGGCTGAGGGGATTCGCATCCAGGGTGTCGTCCTGGTAGTCTGAGATGCCCTCAACCATGCCCAGCTCTAACAGGTAGCGTAGCTGGGTGAGTAGGCCCAGAAGGATCCCTGCAAAGGCCCAGTAGACTGCAGGCTTGTACTCCTGGGTGTAGAGGAGTTCATACATGGTGCCCAGGGCCTGCAGCGGGCGACAGAGCAGGGCCCAGACAGGGCCCAGTAAGCAAAGGAGCTGAGAGCAGCAACCACACAGCCACTGTGTCCCTAGCCCCCACTGCCTGTGTCTGGCCTCATCCTAGGAATCAGCATCAAAAGCCTTTGCCTGCTTCTGGCTGTTCCTGGGCTGCCTCGAACCCCACTCCCGCAGTAGCTCAGAGGCAGGGCCCGTGTGAGGCTGGCCGCCGAGACAGGCAGAACCATGAGTGAGCCCACCCTACGGGGCCCCTGATCTCTTGGCTTTGCCTCTAACCCAAGCCCTTTCTGGCCCCTTGCACCACTGGTCTCCCTTTCCCTGGCCCAGCTCCACCCTCTGGTGACCTGCCTGGCCCTCACCACCCCTCTCCAGATGCCCTTCCCAACCAGGAGATCCTTCCAGACCACCCACCCTCAGACCTTCTGGCTTCCTGTCCCAGGAGCCTGGTTTGATGTGGCTGACCCCCCAGGGTCCCTTTCCTTGGGTCAGGCTGTGAGTGGCCACTGAGACCTGCTCTAGCTCTTCCCCTAAACAGTTCTCCAGTCAGTCCTATAGTCACCGTGTCCCCTGCCTGCCTTGCTGCTTCCTGCTGCCCCTGCCCTCACCTTTTCAAAGGGCAGAGCTAACCGGGTCATTCCTAAGTGGAACCCTTCCATGCTGCGCATTGCCTTTGTGGGGAAGCTCAGCACTGGCCACAGCCCATGGGCCCTGTGTGGCCAGGCCCCTGCCTCTCAGTGCCAGCCCGCCCATGGCCCTGGCTGCCAGGCCTCCCCCACCTCCTGCTCAGCCCAGCCCTGGGGCCTCTTGTTCTTTTATTTTTTTTAATTTTAGCATATTACAGGGGTACAAATGTCTAGACTACGTACACTACCCTTGCCCCACCTGAGTCAGAGCCCCAAGCGCATCCATCCCCCAGACAGTGCGCACTGCACTCATTATGTGTGTACCCGCCCCCTCCCCCCTCCCATCTGCCCGAGGCGCAGTGTGTGGTTATTTGCGACTATGTGTCCCATGAGGGGTCTCCACTGCTCCCTCATGTGTTCCCACTTGCTGCAAGTTTGTGGAAATCTTGGCTTTTCTGTTCCAGCGGGAATCCTCATGGGGAGACAGGTGCTAATGGCAGCGGTGAGGCTGATCAGTCAGCTCACACACCAGCTGCCCAGAGGGTCCCTGGAGTGTGCAGGGGCAGGAACCTGTGGTGAGCAGGTCAGATGCAGTGCCCACCTTCCCGCACGACAGGCCACTCCTGAATTCCCAGTTGCCACAGTGGCGCTGGCGTCGTACCACCTGGAATCCCTTGGGGCCCTTGAATGACAATGCCATTGCAGTGGGGGAACGGGGTGGGGACACGGAGGGGGTGCTGCTCACCACCAGGGAGATGAGCTGGGCCTGCTGGGTGGGCCTGATGAACTGCTCAGGGGGCCGCAGCTTCATCTTCGTGTAGAGCAGGGTGATGACCTGGCGGGCCAGCTCCCCGTTGGCGGCTAGGGCCTTCCACAGCGGGAGGGTTAGCCTGGGGAGACAGGGGTGGGCTCACAGCCCGCCGGGGGAAACCCGTGGGTGCAAGGCCTTCTGTGCACTCTGAAGGCCACAGAACAGCCTGCCGGGCATGCTAGAGTGGAGATGGCTGGGTTCCTCGGGAACAGTGAACCCTCTGTCTGCAGAGGGTCCCGGAGGCTGTGTTGTCATGACCAGTGCGGCTTGGGCCCCTGCTAGGAGCTCTGAGCGCAAGTTAGTTTTCCCAGGTGTTCTTGCTCACATCCCCTCAACAGGTGACCCTGAGCACACCACTGCCCAGCCCAGCCTGTCTCTCCACCTGGGAAGTGAGGGCTCACCCCTCAGTCAGCCCTGCAAGGCCAGGAGCCACGGTGGGCAAGACTCACTCATCCCTGGTGACACCGTGCTCCCTGTCAAAGGCCGTGCAGCCTGTGACAGGCCCGTGTCCATACCCCCCCTCAGGCTGTGAAGTGCTTGCACACCACTTGGGGCTGTGAGAATGCCACTTCCGACTCAGCAAGGGAGGCGAAGCCTGAGACTGCATTTCTGACGAGCTCCCAGGTGGTGTGGCCTTGCTGGCCCTGGGTCCATAGTTTTCATGGCGAGGTGTCCCCGTCCACAGAACACAGCTTGGAAAGACCAGCATTACCCAAAGTGTGGCCCAAACTGTGTACGCCAGGGCTCTGGGGTAGCTGCTGGGGACCATTGGCTGTGCTTTTTGTCACCCAGCTGACCTCCAGCCTCTCTACAGGTCAGCCTCAGGGGTTCTCCGAGTCTGAGGGACGTTTTCATGTGGAAGCCCTCCCTGGGACTACCAAAGCCTTAACCCCTTCTGTCTGGCACGTCTTTGGGGATGCTGCCAGGCCTGGCCCTGGAGTCCAGGCCCTGGAGCCTGGCAGCCGCTCTCAAACACTCCTGCCTTCACAGTGCCTGGCACGAGTCTGTATTCGGAAGTGTCTACAGACTGAGTGAGGACCAAAGGACGGGTGGGCAGCTGTCCACCTTTGGGTATGTACTGAGGAGGGGCTACCTCTCTGAGGGGTGGCACAGGGACAGGACCACCTCGACCGTCTCCTGGGAGTGCTGGGCTCCCAGTGCTGCTGTGGCCTTCATCATGGTCTCCTGCACGTCCTTGAAGACAATACCAGGCAGCTCCTGGAACAGGCCTTGCAGGATCTCAGCCACCTGCGGGGAAGGGTGAGCAGAGGGCAGCCTCAGATAGGGCCCTACTCTGCTGGGGGCTGCCTCCTCCAAGAGGCCATCTTGGATCTCAGGCCGGCGGCATGACCCTGCGTGCATCCCAGGATGGAACTGGCTCTGGGGCTGGCTGCTTGTGCCACCCCTGGTTCGTACATCCTTGCTCCCCATGTGTCCCTGTGACCACAGAGATACTAGGCTTCAGGGGACCAGTGTGGGGGTTGACCACAGAAGCACCTCCATCAGTGGGGACAGGCAGCCCCTGCATGTCATTTGGTCTGGTGGGTCTGGAACTATAGGCAGAGCCAGACTGAGATGGATGTCGACAGTGACCTTGCCATCACCTGCTGGCTGTGAACAAGGTGGTGTGTTGCTCTGATTGCTGCAGCAGGGTGCTGTGACCTTGAGGCGAGCCAGGACCCGCTGGTATCACTGGCCTTGGCCCTGCTGCCCACAGCTGCCCCGTGCTGGCACAGGCTTCTGGGGGCTGTGCTGCTGGGAGGGGTACCCGAGGTGGTCTCTGCAAAGAGGTGCGGTGTGTGGTGTGCACGCATGGTGCACAAGCACATGGGCACGCAGGCCCCTCCTGGTCCTGCAAGGAGGTACACAGCTGTGGACTGAGGACGGGCTGTCCCTACCCTGAGACCCCACCTGCTCAGCTTTGATGCCCGGATCCAGGAAGGCCAGCAGAAGGAGATGGGAGGCCAGGTTGCAGCGCAGCTGGTCGTGGCCCTGGAGGTTGTGCAGGAGCGTAAGGACCAGCTGCGTGTGCTGGGCCACTGTCAGGTTCTCCTCGAAGGCCTGTGCCAAAGGGACAGGGGACAGGGGGGACACCCTGTGGTCAGCATCAGTCCAGGCTCTCACCCTGACATGGACAAACATGCCCCTGCCCCCACCTGCTGCCCTCTCCAGGCCGTGCGCTGTCACCCAGCGGCAGCAAGTGTGGCCGCTGCAGACTCACAGCTGTCCCTTCTCCTGAGAACTGTGCTGGGGACAGTGGGAGGGATCAGCCCCCAGCCCCACCTGGCAGCCAGTGACCAAGCCCCTGCCTGAGGCTGAGGCTGAAGACCACCTCCTGCTCAGCTCCCTTCCCCTGAAAGCACGTCCTCCGGGAGCCGGGAGCCTAAGACAACAGGCCTCTAAGCCCAGGGCTTCCTGAGAGGGGGGCCCAGGGGACTCCTGAATGAAGGAGTCACTGTTCCTATCACAGCCTGTCCCAGGATCTCAGGCCTAAGTGACCCTTACATAAAAGGTGGGTAAACTGAGAAACTGAAAGATTGAATGACCTACCCAACAGTCACTGAGTTTGGGCTGGCCCAATAGGCCAGAGCTCGCTCTCAAACTAGTCCCTGAATCCCGTACAGTGAGCGAGGTGGGGGGGAGTGGAAGGGAGGGTGGCCCGAGAGGAGAGCATATTGGGAGGGCCTGGGCCTGAGAGAAGGGGCTAGACTACACAGTCTTTGCAAGCCCTGGTGAGGAGCCCCAGAGGAGTGAGGGAGCCCAGAGTGGGCTCTGAAGATGCCATCGGGAGCCCTGGGACACACTGCTCCAAGTGGGCCCAGCCAGCATCCAAGTCAGAGACTGGAGGGCCCGGGCAGGGTATAAGGGGAAGCAGAGATGGGACACTTTGGGTGCTGCGCCCTCATTCAGGCTCTGCCCAGCCTGTCCCTGGCACAGGCCATGTGGGGCCTCCACTATCCTGATGCGTACAGTGGGCTGGGGAGGCCGGGGCTCTGGATAACTGCCGCACTCTTGGATAGTTGGGGTTCTGTGGGAGCCGCCCAGCCCCGAGAGACCTCACCTTCATCACGTCGCAGAGCTTCACCTCCCATTCCTTGGAGATGCTCCCTTGAAGTTGCTTTATCCTGTGCACATGCTTGGGGTCCGCAGTCCTCCCTGCCCCAAGACATGCAGTCAGGAGAACTGCTTTGGCCTGGGGAAGCGGCACTCCCCTCTCTGGCATGATCACCCCAGCCCAGGCCAGGAGTGAGGCCCAGAAAAGCCAAGGAGCCAGCTGGGCCCACTCACCGGGAAATGGCGGGGTACCCAGACTCTGCTCTCCGTTGCTCCCCCTCACCCCGCTCACCCTTCTGCTGCACCAGAAGCTGCAGGAGGAAGTAGATGCACTGTTGCGAGTGGTTCCGGATGTCCTCGTCCTTGTCCCTGCACAGCAGCAGCAGCAGCCCTATCTGGTGGCCCAGCATGGAGGGTGCGGCCTCCTCCTGGGGAGCAGGGGGCAGTGAGCACAGCCAAGCTGGCTTCTTGGTGCCACTTGTGCTGTCTCAGGCCCTCCAACTTCCAGACCCTTTCAGCCCGTGGCAGTGCTCAGTGTCTCGTGGCAAATGCAGCGGCATCCAGGAGAGCCCAGCCTCGACCTCCGACTCCTCATCTGTAGAAGGGGCTCTTCCATTGCTGCGCTGTGCCTATGACCATCTCCCTTTATGTGCATGTGTGTGCATGAGTGTGTGCATGTGTGTATTTCTCCTGGCTGCTTTAAGGTTTTTTAAAATTTATTTGGTTTTCAGTAATTCAGTTGTGATGTGCCTCAGTAGGGTTTTGTGCTTACCTTGCTTGGGCCTCACTGATATTCTTGGATCTATGGGTTTATATTTTGCATCAAATTTGAAGAATTTCAGCCATCATATCTTCAGCTATTTCTTTTTGTCCTAATCCTCTCACCTCTCCTCCTAAAACTCTGGTTATATTTGATATTGTTCAACAAGTCACTGTGGCTTTGGTTACTTTTTCTCTGGTTTTTGTTTTTCCTCTGTTTCCTTCCGTTTCAATGGGTTCTACTGTTGTGTCTCCAAGTTCACTGACAATTTTCTTCTGCAGTGTCCGATCTGGTATGCTGATCCGGTGGCTTTTTCGTTTCAGATATTGTGTTTTGTTTACGGTTCTAGAATTTCCATTTGGTTCTTTTTTATGATTACCATTTATCTATTGTTATTTCTTATTTATCCTTGTAATATGTTCTTGTTTTCCTTTAAATTATTGAACATATTTATAGTAGCTGTCAAAGTTTTTTTTCTTTTAATAATTTACTGAGGCACAAGTCACATAACAAAATTAAGCACTTTAACGTGAACAACTCAGTAGCATTTAGTACATTCACAATGTTGTACAACCATCACCTCTATACATAATTCCAAAACATTTTCACAACTCCAAAGTAAAACCTCTTACCCATTAAGCAGTTTCTCTCCCCACTTCAGACCCTGGCAACCACCAATCTGTGTTCTCTCTGCATTTATCTATTGTAGGTACTTTCTATAGATGTAATCATAAAAGATATGACTTTTTGTGTCTGGCTTCTTTCAGTTAGCACTATGTTTTCAAGGTCTATCCATGTCGTAGCATGTGTCAGCACTTCATTCCTTTTTATGTATGAATAGCATTTCATTGTGTGTGTATACATCTATATCTGTATACCTATATATCACAGTTTGTTTATCTATTAATTCATTGATGGACATTTGGGCTGTTTCCACCTTTGGCTATTGTGAATAGTGCTATTATGAACACATATGTACTACACTTATTTGAATACTTATTTTCAACTTTTTTGGGTATACGTCTAGAAGTAGAATTGTAGAGTCATGTAGTAATTCGATATTTAACTTTTTGAGAAACTGTCAAGCTATTTTCCACAGTGTTGGAACCATTTTACATTCCCATCAACAATGTACAAGGGTTGCAGTTTCACCATAGCCTTGCCAACATTTTTAAAAAATTATTATTATATACCTAGTGGGTATGAAGTGGTACTTCACTGTGGTTTTGATTTGCATATGTCAAATGATTCATGGTTTTGAGCATTTTTCATATGTTTGTTGGCTATTTGTATATTTTCTTTGGAGAAATGTCTATTCAAACCATTTGCTCATTTTTTAATTGGGTTGTCTTTTTGGCTATTGAGTTTATAAGAGTTCTTCATGTATATTTTGTATACTAGACTCTCTTTTTTGGCTTTTTACTTATCTTTTTATTATATAATTTTTGTGGATTACATTATACTTTCTTTTTTTTTATTTCAGCATATTATGGGGGTACAAATGTTTAGGTTATATGTGTTGCCTTCCCCCCCCCTTCCCCTCTGGAGTCAGCTTCAAGCATGTCCATTCCCCAGATGGTTCACATGACACTCATTATGTATGTATATACCCATCCCCTCCTACCCCCTCCCACCTGCCACACACCCGGTAAATGTTATTCCTATATGTCCACTTAGGTGTTGATCAGTTAATACCAATTTCCTAGTGAGTACATGTGGTGCTCGTTTTTCCATTCTTGGGATACTTCACTTAGTGGAATGGGTTCCAGCTCTATCCAGGAAAATACAAGAGGTGCTACATCATCGTTGTTTCTTATAGCTGAATAATACTTTGTGGTATACATATACCACATTTTATTAATCCACTCATGTATTTATGGGCACTTGGGTTTTTTCCACATCTTTGCAATTGTGAATTGTGCTGCTATAAACATTCGAGTGCAGGTGTCTTTTTTATAGAGTGTCTTTTGTTCTTTGGGGTAGATGCTCAATAATGGGATTGCTGGATCAAATGGTAGATCTACTTGTATCACTTTAAGGTATCTCCATATTGAAAAATATAGAACACTTCATGAATTTGCATGTCATCCTTGCGCAGGGGCCATGCGAATCTTCTCTGTATCGTTCCAATTTTAGTATATGTGCTGCCGAAGCAAGCACAGTAGCTATCAAAGTTTTGAGTTCCATCATCTGTGTCATTTCTAGGTCTACTTTTATGGACTAGTTTTTCTCCTAATTATGAGTGAATTTTCCTACTTCTTTGCCATGTTCAGTAATTATTTCTTGTCTGTGGGACACTGTAAGTGTCCTGACTTTTATTCTGGCAGGCAGTTAATTAATCCTTTTGAGGCTTGAGCTTAAGTTTTTTGTTAGGGTAAATTGAGACTATTCTCAACTGTGGGACTGGAATAACCCTACCCCTAAGGCGTGGCCTTTGTGGGCTGTTCAAGGAGATGCCTCAAGTGTGGCAGCTCCTTTCTTGCACCACTGCCACCTCCTGGAGACTCACCCTCAGGTTCTAGCCATGCCACAACCCTGAACTTCCATCTCTGCCTCCAAGCTCAGCAACATTGCAGCTCCCAGGGCTTCAGACCAGAAAATACCTTCAGGCAGGAAGCTGGCATGATCATGGGGCCCTCCCCACCTGGTCCTGTGCTTCCTGTTGGCACCATCTGAAGCCAGTTATTTTGTCTTTTCTGACCCATTTTATGGTTTCTTACAATGGGAGGCAAGACCGTTAGTTATTGAGGGTGGGGAGGTGGAGCTTAGTAATGGAAAAGAGATACAAGGAAACTTTGTGAGATGCTGGAAATGTTGTAAATCTTGATACATTTGCATTTGTAAGAAGTCACTGAGCTGTTCACTTTATTTTTTTCATTTACTGTATGCAAACTTTACTTCCATAAAGCAGAGTAAAAAAACTGGAATATATGCTCTTGCAATCTTCACAACGAAAGGTTTTGGGTGGGCGTGGGGAGGCTTCTGCAGCGTTTCCTCTGAACGTGCAGCCTCAGGGCCCAGGGAGCGCATGTAGTTGGAGCCCGACTTAGGCAGGAACTGCTTGTGTGCCAAAGTGAGGGTTGGACCCATGCAGCAGGCAGCCCTCCAGCTGGGCCAACCTTGGCTGAAATTAAATACCACGGGGCCGGGATGCGTTTGAATCCCCTGCACAGAGCAGCAGAGACAGAGGAGGGCCTGTTCTGGGGAGAAGGGCTCGCCTGCTGGTGGGCTCTGTCCACTTGGAATTTGTCTCCATGGGGAAGTTCGTGCCGTGTTGCTGTTCACATGAGTGTTGGCCCTGCTCCCTGAGCTCTGGGGGATGAAACTAAAGCCCCTGGGACACCTCGTCCAGTTATTGGTGTTTTTAGGTCTTTAATTTCATTTGTGAGTCCATTCCTAGCAATGAATCTATATGACATGCTTTTTAAAAGGGTAAACTTGCCTCACTGGCAAATATACGTCCCCAGCCAAGGGTCTCCACTAAGCTCAGACTGTCTTGTCCACCTGCCACCCAGCATCTCGGCTCACATGTCCACACCCTACTTTGAAAAAGATGCTGCAAGGGCAGCTGTCACCCATCTCAGCTGGTGGCAACTCAGTCTTTCCGGTTGCTCAGGCCAACATCCTCTTTCTGACGTTCCTCAACCACGTGTCAGAGTTCCCTGCACACCAGCCGGCACCTACCCGCTGGTCTGTGCCAACCCGGAGGCCAGCACGGCCTCTCCGCCGGCGTGCCCAGCCTCCTCTCACACCCTCAGTCTGCTTTTACTGCAGAAGCTGCGGCACCTCCTCAGTTGTCCCGGCAGGTCCCCATTCGCTCGGTCTCACAAAGCCAACTCCTGGTGAGGGCCTGCGAGGCCCCACGCGGCCAGCCCTGCGTCTGGCTGCCACCCTTGCCAGGTGCCCCCAGCTCCTCCAGGAGCCCAGGCTAGTTCTCTAAGCTGCTGCCCGTCTTGCTCAGATACAGACTGCTCTGCGAGGGCTACTCTGACCCCTTTATTTTTTTTGATAACTTTTTATCTTGATATCGTTTCAAACTTACAGAAATGCTGCAAGAATAGATTAGACAATACTCACATTCTCATATATTCTGTATCCAGCATTTCCAATTATTTACACTTCGCTTCATTTGCTTTTTACTCTTTCTGTCTCTCTCTGTCTCCCTCTAATGGGAGACACCGGGCGTTTTACCCATATGTACTGCAGGGTGAGTTTTCTGAGAACAAGGACATGTATTTACATAATGGCAATGCAATTATCAAAATCAAAAACATTTAACATTAATGCAATACTGTTATCTAATCCACAGTTGGTATTTAAATTTTATCAATTGTCCCAATACTATCTCTTTCCCACACACACCTCTCACACTGTGCAACACACACACTATTTTTCCTGATTCAGGATCATACGTTGCATTTGGTTGACATAGCTCCTGAATCTCATTTTATCTGAAATACATCTTCAGCTGTTTTTTGTCTTTCTGAACCATGACATTTTTGGGAAATACAGAGAAGTGGTGTAGGTCTGTCGGACGCTTCCTCATGCTTAGACTCAGGCTCTACTTTCCTGCCAGGAAGACCCCAGTGGGGATGTTGTGTCCTCAGCGCATCATGCCAGGGGCACAGGATGGCCAAACAGTGAAGTTACTTTCATCACTTGGTCAGGATGGTGCCTTCCAAGTTTCTCCTCTATTTTCCCCTTTGTAATCAATTAGTAATTTGTGGGGAGATCCTTATAGACTATAAAATATCCCATTTCTCCTCCAACTTCCACCACAGGGGGGCTTTAGCATTGCCAATGACCTGCCAAGCCCATCCTTGCTAGCACATTCTTAGCTAGCATTTCCCGTGTCCTTGTTTATTTGTGTATTTATTTATTCCATCAGTACGGACTGATGGAATTTTATTTCATTCACTTGGTTGTAATCTGTAACAGTCGTTATGTTTCTTTTTTTGCTGTAATTGTCTTCAATTCAGACAGCAGCAGTCCTTCAAGCTGGGGCTTTCCAAATACCTTCACCATTCTTTGAACACTTCTTTACTCTCTGGAATACGGTGCTCTGCATGCGGCTGGTGGACTCCCTGGCCCACCCCTGGAAGGAGCCTTGTCTCCGAGCACAAGTTCACCTGGGTGGAGAACTGAGTTAGCAACCACGAGCTCTAGGCACACTCACAGGCATTGTGTTGGTGAGTCTAGGTCTTCGAGGGGACACAGGAGAGATGCACACACACACGTGTGATGCATGACATCACACATCACACACTTGGTACCGTCCGTCTTTGCCCTTCCAGCAGGTGGGTGGTGTATCTCACCGTGGTTAATTTGCATTTCCTTTATGACAAGTTGTGTTGACTATGTTCATTGTCATTTGCTTCGCAAAATGCTTAAGTCTTTTTCCTGTTTTAAAACCTGGATTATCTGTTCATTGAGTTGTAGGAGTCCATGATGTTTTGTGGATACAAGTCTTTCGTCAGATATGTGCATTACAAGTATCTTCTCCCAGTCTGTGTCTTGACTTTTAATTCCCTTAATAGTGTCTTTGGATGCACAGAAGTTTCTAGCTGATGAAGTCCGTCTGATCGATATTTCATTTGTGTTACTGCCTTCTACCTTCTGCCTAGGAAGTCTCTGCTCATCTCAAGTTTGTAAAGATAATGTACATCTTCTGGAAACATCATGGTTTTAATTTTGGAACTCTACTTGTTCCAGCATCTTAATTGAAAAACCTTTCAACATTCAACCTTTCCCTGTTCAAGAACTTCAGTGCCTTTGTTGAACGTTGGTGGACTGTTGGGTGTGGGCTATTTCTTGAGCCCCTGCTCTTTTCTGTTGCTCTATTTAGCCATCCTCTGACTTGGCCCTCCTGTTCCAAGGTGGCTGTTCTGGGGCCTCGGCACCATGTGGCATCCTTGTCCCTGGCTCTGCTGTCCCCTTGGCCTCAGTGTTTTCCCCCAGGGAGCCACCGGCTGCCCCTTCCTCCTTCAAGCCTTTGATCCCATGCAGTCTTCCCATCACGATTGCCTGCACCTGCCCTATTTGAATTGCAGCCTCAGTCCTAGGACCAGGGGCTTCCTGGGGGATGGGGCCTTTGTCTAGTCCCCACAACACAGTGCTCAGTGAATGCTGACGGCAAGCACCAGTGAGTGCAGCTCAGCGGTGAAGCCTACTGGCCCTCCCTCCCCACCACGTGCTCCTGGAGAGCCGGTCCTGCCTGGCCACCCTCCCTCCCTGGGGGTCTCAGGATGCAGGGGACTCACGGTGAACTTCAGGGACTCTACCACGAACCGCAGGAGCAGGAAGATAGACTCCACCACCCGCATGCGCTCGTGGCTCTTTTCCGAGTTCAACCAGGGCTCTGTGTGCTGGGATGGAGAGAGCAGAGCTGAGGGAACAGCCAAGCCCCTTGGGCCCACCCGCGTCCGGCTCAGGCATGGCCCCGAGCAGGCACTGTGGTCAGCCAGACTGTTGGCCGGCATGTCGGCCTGGCTCCTTCAGCTAAAGGGTCCAATTTATGACCTGGGCCAGGGGCCACCTGGGGTACAGGGAAAAACCAAAGCCTATTGTCCTGCTCTCACATGGCCACCACCACATGCTCACCCTAGACATGGGAGTGTTTTCCCCACACACCAGGCAAGCAGTTCTGCAGCAGACACCACCTGCATGTCCTCTAATCCAATTCAGTCTGACGCTGTCTACCTGGAGGTAGCGCCAGACACCACAGGTGGAGGCTCAGTCCCACAAGGCTGCCCTCACTTCAGATGCCAGTTGCAAGCCCTGGATTGTGGCCTGTGCTTCTGACCGACTGGCTGTAAATCTTTTGAGGTTCCCACAACCCTTCCTTGGGTTTGATTAATTTGCTAGAGCAACTTACAGAACTCAGGGAAACACTTATGTGAAATTAAATAATTCAAACTTAAAGCTATATCATGTGATCACATGATGATAAAAGGATAGAAAGACATTACATCCTAAGTGTATATGCACCAAACAACATAGCCTCTAAATATACAAAACAAAACCTGACAGAGCTGAAAGGAAAATAGACAAATCCAACATTATAGTTGGTGCCCTCATTCTCTCTCAGCAAACCAGCAAACAGTAGAACAGCTAGACAGGAAATTGGCAAGGATATGGACGAGCTGAACATAACCAACCATCAGGATCTGGCACATGTAGAAAACTCTACCCAACAACAGAATGCACTGGTTTTTTCAAGTGTCCATGGATCATTCACTAAGATAGACCATATCCTGAGCCACAAAACAATCTTCCACAAATTTTTAAAATTTGAAATTATATGTAGTGTGTCCTCTGATTATAATATAATCAAACTAGAAATCAATAATAGAATGATGATGGGAAAATCTCCAAACACATTTCTAAATAACCCATTGATCAAAGATAAAGCTTCAAAGAAAAATTTAAAAATATACAACACTAATAGAAATAATGCAGCTATAGCTGTGCTGAGAGGGAAATTTTTAGCTTAGCAAAAAGTGTTTATGTTAGACATGAGAAAAGATCTCAGATCAATAACTATAATCAATAATCTCTATAAAGTAGATAAAGAAGAGCAAAATAAACCCAAAGCAAGCAGAAAGAAGAAAATAAAGATAAAGTAAAAAAATCAATGAAACTGAAACTGGAAAGACAACAAAGAAAAGCAATAAAACAAAATACTAGTTCTTTAGAAAAATCACTAAAATTGATAAACATCTAGAAAGATTAACAAAAATCAAAAGAGGGAAGATACAAATCACCAATATTAGGAATAAAATAAGGATGTCACTACAACCACTATAAGATAAAAAGGGAATATCATGAATAACTTTTGGCTCATAAATTCAACAACTGAGAAGAAATGGACCAATTCCTTGGAAACTATAAATGACAAAAGGTCAAGATGAAATAGACCATCTGAATATCCCTGTAACCACTGAAGAAATTGAATGCATAAACTTAAAGTTTCTAGAAAATAAATCTCTAGATGGTTTCCCTGGAGAATTCCACCAAACATTTAAAGGATTAACACCAACTTTACAATTACTTTAAGGAAATAGAAGAGGAGGGAACATTTCCCAGTTGATTTTATGAGGCCAGTATTACCCTGACACCAAAACCAGAGAGACAGTACCAACAGGAAGGGCTGAAACAAACAACAGCAAAAACTGTAAACCAAAAACTCTCATGAACTTAGATGCAAAGTTTCTCAACAACACATTAGCAAACCAAATCTAACCATGTTTACAAAGCATTGTACACACTGAGCAGGTGGGATTGAGTCCAGGTATGCAAGACTGAAGACTGGTTCAGCATTTGAACACCAACCAATGCAACCCAGCAGACCTACAAGCTAGAGGAGATCACAAGATGGCATCAATTGGAGATCACAAGATGGTATAGAAAAAGCATTTGGCAAAATCCAGCAGCCCTCCATGCATGATTAAAACTCAGCAAGTCAGGGAGAGTGATTGCTTCACCTTCACAAAAGAGCGTCTACCAAACACTGCAGTTAGCTTCCTACTCAGTGACAAAGGGCTGGCAGCTGTCCTCCTACAGTGGGGACGAGGTGAGCCTGGCTGCACTCACCACTCTCACTGGCATGGTACTGGGAGTTCTACCCAGTGAAACATGGCCACGGGAGTAATTAAACAGCACACAGATTGGAAAAAAAGAAAATGATCTCTTTTTGCAGATAACATGATTGTCATGCAGATGACATAAAAAAGCCTAAGGAATCTATTTTTTTTAAGCCTCCTAGAACTAAGTGAGTTCAGCAAGGAGCCTGGCATGTAATAGGGCCCCCAGGTGTCAGCCTGTGGGGGTCAGGTGGTGGGGCAAAGGGGTTCACAAAGCAGCTGGTTGGGAATGGGCCAGAAGGTCTTCTAGGCAACCTGACTGTCCATCCGAGTCCCCACCCATGGGTCTCCATCAGGGCACACAGGGTGTGTCCTTCATCCTCAACTGTTTCCAGAACAGGCTGCTCCTCTCTCGCTTCCTGGGCCAGGTACACATCCTTTCTCTCACACTTTCCTAGGGCACAGCCCACTGTCCCCTCCTCCGGAAAGTGTTCCTGGATGCCTTGCCCCAAACTCACACTCTGTTAGAGCACATTTGTGCCTAGAGTCTTGGCTGTGTCTGTCTTTCCTTTCCACTAGACTATGTGTCACGGTCCCCATGTCCCAGCACCACACCTAGAGCCAAGTGGGGCGCCAAGCTGCCCAAGAACCCTCAGGCCACCCCTGGGGCTGTTCCTACCCACCCTTGGTGGCACCGCAAGGTGAGGTCACTGAGTCACTCCTCTCCTTGGCAGAGTACATGGATCTTCTGAAATAGCCACTCAGCCCTGATGAGAGGCAGGGAGGCCTGGACTCCACAGTGTTTGGCACATGGTCAGTGGGGAAGAGTAAACCTGCCAGTGGGGCCTCTGGGCACTTCCTTATGACGGGAACACCCTGAGCACACGCTGGGGAATCCGAAGCCAGCCCTGGGCTTGGGGTGGGGACTGGGAGACCTGCTCCTGGAGCCCACATGCACCGCCCGCCCTCACCTGCAGGAGGAAGTAGATCTCGTCCATGCTCTTGTTCTCGGAGATGAAGTTTTGGAGGAGCATGTCCAGGGCATGCATGGTCTTCTTGTACAGCATCTGGCAGAGGGAGGTGGCCATCGCTGTTGCAAGGTGCGCTGGCCCCAGCTCTGTGGACCTCCCGGCCAGTGTCCTCCTCTGTCTCATACAAGGTGCCCAGGAAAAATGCCCTGGAGGAGGGCCGGACCACTCCATGACAAAAGGCCTTGGTGGGTCACCTGTGTACCTTGGGCATCCCTTGCAGGTGAGAAGAGACAGCACCCACAGGACTCTTAGTTAATAACTGCTGGGGGTGCTTAGAGCTGCTTGCAGTCCACAGAAGGCAGAAGGCCGTGGACAGACAGAGCCTTGAGCCACAGATAGCCTGGTGGCATGTGCCCTTGGCCACTCAGACAGCACCCTTCTCCTATCTCCCTCTTCTCTGCCCCATGCTGCTCTGGGTCCTGCCTGCCCATCAGCACCGGGGTTCCTTGGGTTGGCCTGGCTTTCTGCTTTCTCCTTTCTACCCTCTTGACTTTCCCTGAGAATATGTTTTGGCTGACGTCCTCAGATATTCAGAACTCGCTGGGTCCAAAGCCTCCTGCTACCCCAGGCCTACCATCTTGGTGGATAAGAGTCCAGTGCAACACCTAGCTTGGGAGCTCCTCCATGATTTCTGGATGACTAGAAAAATTAGGAACTGTCACAGGGTGCTGCATCAGTACCTGCAGAATGCAGGAGTAACTGTGGCATCCCCTCACATGCTGATCAAGGGACAAATCACAGCTGCTCCTCTGCATAATAGTGCTACATCTGCCCTTTGGCTGGCCTGAGGACCAAGGCTCTTTCAAGTTCAAAGGAGACTGCCAATAAAGCAATGAGGACAGTGAACACCACTGGCATTCTTTAAGGCCCATGCACTGGACACAGATTCACTCCTTCATGTGGTAGATACTCACTGAGAGTGCTGAGCAGCCCACCTGCAGGGAGGGGGACAGTGGCAGCCACACTTGGCTCCTGAATGCAAGACTCTCCCAGTCCAGGTGGAGAGGCAAGAAATATAGTAAAAATCTAACAGCAAAAGGAAAAATCTAAACAAGCTGGAGATCATGTGTTGACCATTTATTCCAGTGCCATGGAAAGGAGGCATCAAGAGAGGGAGGAGAGTCACTTCCCTTCGGTCCAAGGGTGACTAGGGGCTCCCTGCAGGCATTGGGGTCCTGCTTTCCCCTCCCCTGCTTGCACGGAGGCCAGGGCAGCAGGCTTGTCCCCACCAAAACCCATGTTCAGGCCTGGTTCTGAATGTGACTATGGTGAGAGATAATGGCACCTTTAAGAAGTGGGACTGGATTAGTTACTGCTAGAGCAGGCTGTCAGGAAGCCAGGTCGCCCATCACGTTCTGCTTCTGTTTCACGCAGTCACTTGTTGCTCTGGCAAGCACTCCCACCATGTCACGTCCTCTGCCACATTATGGCACAGCACGAGGCCCTGCCAGATGCAGCTGCCTGATCCTGAGCTTCCCAGCCTCTAGAACTGTGAGCTAAATAAACCTCTTTTCTTTATAAATTAACCAGTCTCCAGTATTTCATTACAGCAACAAAAATGGATTAAGAGGATTAAGACACTACTGTAATCAAGACTGTGATGTTGGCATAAAGATAGACCAATAGATCAATGGGGCAGAATAAGGAGATTATAAATAGAATCCTGCATATATGTTCAATTGATTTTTGACAAAGTTGAACAAAGTTGATAGTTGAACAAAGAAAGGATAATCTTTTCAACAAGTGATTCTGGAACAACTGGGCATCCATATGCAGAACACTGAGCTTCAGTCCATACAATACACCATATAAAATCAATTCAAAATGGACCATGAACTATTAAGGACTGAATGTTTGTGTCTGCCCAAAGTGTACATGTTGAAACCTAACCCTTAGTGTGATGGTACGAGGAGATGGAAACTTTGGGAGGTGACTAAGTCATGAGGATGGAGTTCTCACTGGTGGCATCAGTGCAAAAGGGGCCCCATAGAACTCTCTGGCCCTTTCTCTGGCATGCAGGAATATGAGAAGAAGTTGGATCTGCAACCTGGAAAAGACCCTCACCAAAACCCTGCTGGCACCCTGATCTCAGACTTCCAACCTCCAAAACTGGGAGAAATTAACTGGCGGTTACTTTCCAGAACTGGGAGAACTGGTGGCTGTTTATGAGCCACCCTGACTGTTGTACCTTATTATAGCAGCCTGAATTAACTAAGACATGGACCTAGGTGTAAAACCTACAACTACAAAACTTCTAGAAGAAAGCAGAGGAGAAAATCTTTGTGACCTAAAGCAAGGATTTCCTATATTTAATACTAAAAATACAACCCATACAGGATTATGGATTAATAGATAGCAAATAGATTAATTGTAATAAGTAAAAATTAATAAAATAGAAAAATTAATAAAATAAATAGAAAATAGATTAATTGAATTTCCTTGAAATTAAGAACTTTTGCTCTTCAGGAGACACTATTAAGAGAATAGGCCAGGCGTGGTGGCTCACACCTGTAATCCTAGCACTCTGGGAAGCTGAGGTGGGCAGATCACTCCAGGTTAAGAGTTTGAAACCAGCCTGAGCAAGAGCAAGACCCCGTCTCTACTAAAAATAGAAAGAAATTAATTGGCCAACTAAAAATATATAGAAAAAAGCAGCCAGCCATGGTGGCATGTGCCTGTAGTCCCAGCTACTCAGGAGGCTGAGGCAGCAGGATTGCTTGAGCCCAGGAGTCTGAGGTTGCTGTGAGCTAGGCTGACACCACAGCACTCTAGCTGGGGCAACAGAGTGAGACTCTATCTCAAAAAAAAAAAAAAAAAAAAAAAAAAAAAAAAAAAAAAAAAGAAGCAGAAAGAAAAGAGAATAAAAAGACAAGTTACAAATTACGAGGAAATATTTTAAATCATATATCTGATAATTTACATCTACAATATAAAAGGAACTCTAAAAACTACATAGTAATCAAACAAATAACCCAGTTTTAAAATTGGGCATGGGATTTGAACACACACCTCACCAAGGAAGATACAGGAATGGCAAATAAGTCCCTGCACAGCATCATTAGTTAGCAGGGAAGTGAAATGCAAGCCACAACAAGATGCCTGTACGCAGGTCTTAGAACGGCCACAAGAGCAGGAGGAGTGAGGACGTGGAGCAGTCGGGACTCTCACACTCACAACACAGCCTCTTTGGAAATAATCTGGCAAGTTGTTAAAAAGTTAAGCGTGCACCTACCACATGAGCCAGCAACCCCCCTCTTAGGTACTTACCCCCCAAATTAAAACATAACTTGTCTCCACAAAGACCTGTACACTGATGTTCACAGCAGCCCAGACTGGAAACAACCCAAATGCCTGTCAACTGGTGAGTGGGTGGCAGAGAGGGGACAGCCATGAAACGAAGTCCCAGTAGTGGGAAGGAGTGACACAAGCCACAACATGGACAGACCTCAAAATCATTAAGGTGAGCAAAAAGAATCCAGATGAAGATAAATACTTACCATTTGATTCCATTTATATAAAATTTAAAAAGTGAAAGCAAGTCTACAGTGACAGAAGCCGGATAGCGTTTTCAGTGGAGAGAAGTGAGGGGGAGGGATCCCGCAGAGGTGCAGGGTGAGGAGTGATACCCCTGTGTGGCTCATCTCTGACACCCTTGGATGTCCTGGGGCTCACAGGTGGGGGTTCAGGTCCAAGCACCTGCTCCCTGGCTGCCCACAGCTCTGGAAGTGGTCAGAGGGTGGTCCGCTGCCAGGGACTGGCCAGATGGTCCCAGTTGAGCTGTTCCAGTGCCAGAGCTTTCCTACGCTCCCTCACCCACCATGTGTGACAAGGGCTTGACAATGGGCCCAGCACCCAGAAATCCCCAGCCAGAGAGACAGGGAGGGTGGCCCCAGGGGCGGGGCGTCACCATGATATCCAGGACTGGCTCCCCCAGAGGCAAGGGGGTCTTCAGCCTCTCCACGGGTGGAAGCATGTACAGGCTCTTGAGGCAGACCTCCAGGATCTTGGATTTGACCACGGGTTTGAGATGGGGCCTCAGCTTGCTGGAAGAAACAGAGAAGAGGCTGGCGTTCTTTGTACAGCCGTGGGCCTGGGCACGGAAGGCCCGGCAGGCACAGTTTACCATGTAGAAGGGGTCTGGGTCACAAACAGGCCCTTGACTCTGGCCTGGGGGTGAAGGGGACCCTGCTGGGGAAGTGGAGCTCATGGGACTGGGAGGGGCACACGGGGGGCAGGGTCTGCACTGAGCCACTCCGACTCATCACTCAGCTCTCTTGGGTTCATTGACATTTGTTTGTGAGAAAACTTATGGATTTCTTTTGGGGTAGGGTTCAGGTCTGTGAGTAGGATCGGGAGTCAGCCATTGACAAAGGTCAGGGCTGAGTCTGTGGCCAGGGCCAGAACTCAAGGAGTTACAAAGCCAGGGCTCAGCATGCGACCAGGATCAGGGCTCAGCCCAAGCCAATGTTAACAACTCACCGTGGACATGAAACAAAGCAAATCTCACCATCCCAGATAGGACGTGGCCCCAGCCTGAGCCCACCAGGGCCTGTTTTAGTCCCTGGTGCTGGCTCCTTTCATCACCTCACGTGAGGACCCCCCCACCCTCTGCGGCCTGGAGGAGAGTTACCTCAGTCCCGCAATAACCAGTATGATATTCTTCCGGAAGGACGTGGCCAGGAAGTTGGGCTCCTTCTGCAGGATGCACTGGGGGGGGGGGGCAGCAGAGGAGGAGCTGAGTGGCAGCGGCCGCCCCCTGCCCCCAATGCGTGCCCGCTGGGCAAGGCTGGGGTCACCCACCAGGAGACACTGGATGAGCTCTGGGATCTGGGAGAACTTGTAGCTCTGGACGCTGTGCTCCTGCCCGAGAGCTTTGGTGAGCATGATGGCTGAGGACAGGAAGCTCACTTTTAGGACGTTGTCCTGCCCAGGCCAAGACGGGTGCGAGGGTGACGTCAGCGGGTGTCAGCAGAGAGCTCCCAAGGTCCACCCTGACCAGGCTGCAAGCAGCACACATACCAACACACACACAATATATATATACACACAACATACACACAACATGCAACATATACACAACACACAATGTACACATAACACACAATGTACCATCATACACACAATATATATAGAATGCACAATATATGCACAGCACCCAACTAACATACAACATACACAGAGCACACATGCACACACAACACACCCTCCTACACACACATTGCACTACAAACACCCCCCACACCCCACACCGCCCAGGGGCCAGGCAACCCCAGGCCCTCAGGAACAGGCCTGCCCTCAGCTTGTTCCCCGGGTGAGAGCCAGATGTCGAGGCCCTCAAGTCCTTCCCCCAAAAGGAGAGGTGAGGGGCACACCCACTCCCAAGGCTCTTGGCAGCAGGGCGGCTGGACCCAGGAGTGCCAGGTGGCATGGTGGGGTCAGCCCTGGTGTGCTCCCCAGGCCTGCACCCACTGTAAGTGCTGCCTCCAAGCTCAATGCCAGGTACGTGAGGGGACAGGGACGAGGCCTCAGCAAGGACTGTCACCTGAGTGGCTCCCCTGCCCTCCCCTTCTCTGGCCTTCTGTCCCTCCTTCCGTCCGAGGGGCGAGGGGCGGGAGCTCACGTAGTGGCTGCACGAGAAGTAGTACACCATCCTGGAGGTGATGTTGTCCACCCAGGGCAGGATGTGCTCCCTGGCGTGCGCGGCCATCTGCCCGTAGCACAGCAGGGAGGTGCTGCTCACCCATTTCCAGTGCAGGTCCTGGTCTAGCTGTGGCGAGGTGGGGTGGGGGTGGGCCTGCAGGGGCTGCCAGGCTCTCGGGAGAGAGCTTCAAGTCCTCTACACAGGTTCAGAATGGAAGCCAGCTGTGCCCACACCCTGGGAGGTCAAGTACCAGGCCCGGTGCCAGCCCCTCCTCCAGGAAGCCCCTCTAGCCAGCACCCCTTCCAGACCATCTGGGTCCCAGCAGTGCCCCCTCCTTTAGGTGTCTCTTGTACATCTGCCCTCCCAGTGTGGCTCCTGGGCAAAGACTGGCCAGGACAACGCATCCCCTGGGTCAGGTGTGCAAGTGAGGAAACTGAGGCCTGGACAACGCACATCCCTGTTCCGGGGTCAGGACTCACATCTGTGGCTGTGGCAAGTTCACCTTCATCCAGCCTGAGTCCCACAGAATAGCCCCTTGGGGTGGGGGGATGGGGTGGGCAGAGGACCTCCATGTCACCAATGAGCAAACCAAGGCTCAGAGACACAAGTGAGTTCCCCAGAACACAAGGGGCTGGGGCCTGGGGCCCTCCCTGCCATGCTGCCCTCTCCAGCATTGGCCCAGGGCCTCTCTACCTGCCTGTCTGGGGACGTGAGAGCTGACCTCAGGAACCTGGTGCGGCCCAGGTGCTCCAGCACCTCCCACACCTCCTCCAGGTGAGAGGTGGATGTCCGGCCCACAGCAATCGCCATGCCCTACAGACCAGGAGTGCGTGTGAGCCAGTGCACAGGAGATGGTATGGATGCTCCCAGCCCTCCCAGCAGGGCCGCTCTCTGCCAGGGTGGGACCAGGGCGCGGCCCAGCAGATCCCAAGGTCCCTGCCAGTCAGTGCCTGACAAGGCACTCCAGTGCTATGAGTCACGGGCAGTCATGATGTGCAGGAGCGGCCGGGAATCAGCAGGGGGTTGGGACCATGTGGTCAGAGGGGCTCGAGGGTGCCGCCCACCTCCCGCTGGCTGGAGGACTGATGGGACAACTCCAGGAGGATGGTCAGGTGCTTCCTCACCAGACTGGTGTCGGTGCACTCGCAGAGGATCAGCCCGTACAATTGGAAGAAGAAGGTCTAGGGCAAGAAGCCGACGGCAGGATGGGGCACTGCCGGCCATCAGGCTGGGGCCCCACCTCTGAGCAGTGCGTGCAGGGCTGTGCATGGCGGGAGAGTGGGCTCCAAGTCCCCTGGATCCAGACTGGCGCCTGAGTCTAGGGCCTGGAGTACTGCCCTAGTACATAGACCTGCAGGCCTGGTCCACCAAGCACACCCAAGTGCACCCTCAGTGTTGTCACATGCTCTGCTGCTGTGGAGGCCATGCTGTGTTCAATGTCCCCTGGCCACGCTGGACCTCTCAGGCCCACTCCTCTCAGGCGCCTGGGCAGAGCCTCCACTGTGGGGACCACAGCTATCAGGGGCAAGGACACTGCCTATACCTTCTCCCTGAACCCACGCCCCGCACATGGGTGTGAGGCCACTTGGTGACAGGCCTCAATCTATCCAGCCTTTCCATGTACACTGGCCTTAGAGGGGCCTGAGAGGTCACGGGCCTCGGGCAGAGGGAAGCTGTGGGCAGCCCAGCCAAGCACTGACCTTCGAGGTCTGCTCTGGGTACAGGTTCATGGACTTCAAAAGCTTCTCAATGTCGGTACCATGGGCGTTGGAGTCCTGTTCCTTCTTGGAGAGCTGCGGGCAGAGCATAGTGCTCAGGGCACCAGCCTCCTGTCCCTGGCCAGCACAGGTCCACAGTGGACAGGACAGAGAGGGCCCTGCTGGGACCAGTGGGCAAGTGAAGAACACAAGCACCCATTCCCCAAAATTGTGAGGAGAAGGTTGGGGCTGATGCCAAACCAGCAGCCAGGAGCTCATTCTTCAGTGTGATAGTCACCACCCCTCCTCCGCAAACCCCAGCAGGCCCTCCCCTTAGGACAGAGGTTGGACCCTTAGGATGGCTGGCAAGGCTGAGTGACCTGGCCCTGCTTACATCTTCTGGGAGGGCTCCCCACACTTTTGTGCTGCTGTATGCTGATCCCTGGACCTTTGCACAGCTTGTTCCCTCCCCACCCCTGGGAGCCAGCATGAGTCTGCTGTTGCAGCCTGCTCAGTACCCTGTCCCACTCTGTCAGCCTCCGGCCCCCTAAAAATCTGTCCCTCACAGTGAAGGGGGCTGGCAGCAGCCCCAGGAGCTGGAAGTGAAGATTGGAGGAAGAATGCAGAGGAGAAGGGCCAGGACAGCCCCACCTGTGCCAGGACACTCCCTGACCCCCAGCAGTGGCTTAGGCCTTCTGTGGGTCTCACAGGACAGCCCCCTGCAGAGGGCTGGGGCACAGGGAGCATGGAGGGGGCCCCGGGGTCAGGCCATCCACACATCCAGGCCCATTCTGAGGACAATCACAGGAGGCCTGAGCCCAGGGAGCCTTGGGAATATGTCAGCCCTACCCACCCCTGGCACTGCCATCCTGCAGGTCTGCCCAGAGGCGGCTGGATCCAGCCTCAGCATCTCTGGTCCTCCCTGCTCCACCCCTCCGGGGGAGCAGCAACATCTGCTCTGACCCCTCACACTCTCTGCACCTTTTGGCTGAAAAGTCAGGGGCAATGGGACCTGCGGGAGCCAGAGGTGACAGCGGCAGAGACAGTAGCTGGCTGAAGGGCATGGGCACCAGGGCCTGGCGGGCCTCCAGCTGTGCAATGAGCCCTGGACGGGCCTTCGGCCTCCTCCTCCAGGCCCTGCAGCTCTCCACATGTCAGGGGCCACAGAGGGGCAAGGGAGCGTGGCTCAGGGGCCTACCTGGCTCTGCTTTTGCAGGTGGTGGCAGATGCCTTCCAACACATTGTTCCTCTCCCGGAACAACATGGCCCTGGCCCTGCTGGCCAGCTCTTTCTCCCAGGGCAGGGACTCTCTTGGGAACTCTCCCTCGAGATCTGTGGGACAGAGAAGCAGAATGGCAGTGCGGGCCCCGCCCTCTGGCCTGGGGCCTCTGTGGGTGCTGGGGGCTCAAAGGAGAGGCTGGGCTGCCCTGGGGGCCCCAGACAGAACTCCCGGGAACTGCTTTCTTTAAAATGAATTTGGAGGGAAAAGGGTGTGAAAGGAACCTGGAAGCCAGAAGCACAGAACCTGGAGGGCATGTATCCCAGGCACGGTGGCCAGCGCAGAGCAAGATCGCATGCTACCAACGGACTGGGGAGTAGGGACAGGAGGCAGACCCGGCCCAGGGAACAGGCACATGCCCCACCCCCAGACGCTGAAACTTCAGACCAACCAGGCAGACGCGGTTGATCAGCAGTGCCAACGTCACTTCCCTTGGAACAAAAACCGCCTGGATCTCTACCTACTCCTTGCACCAAAATAAATAGCAGTCAGTCGTGATATTTAAGTTTCAAAATTCAAACTGTAAATATACAGAGGAGACTATGGGTTTCATTATTCATAATTTCAGGGTAGAGACAGGCTTTCTAAATATGAAACAAGGGGAGAAACCAAAGGGAAAACCCTTTCACAGTTAGGATGTAAACGTCCTGGGGCCACCCAATCGACCCCACAGAATGAAAGCCGAAAGGACAATTGTGACATCTACAATGAGGGGTTACTGCTAGTGTCTGAAAGGCTCTCAGAAGTCAGGAAGGAAGGATCCACACCCCACCTTAAGCACAGGCGAGGGGCAGAGAGACAGCAACCCGAAGCAGAAATCCTACTGGCCAATAACTAAATAAAAGGTGGTCCACCTTGCCAATAATAAAAGAAACGTAAATTATTAAACAATGAGGAGATGTGATTTTTCATCTGTCAATGAGACAAAGATGAAAAAGAGCATGAAGAAAGACATCCTCACGCCACCTCTTCCTCCTTGAAAATCATGGAGCAACAAAGGGTGTTGAAATGGAAATACAAAAGCATGGCCCAAACCATGCCAGGTAACAGGATAAATTATAAACAGAATGAGACCTGGAAGCTTTACGATGCTGGTGAGTATGAATTTACAAATCATTGAACACTTTTACAAAGATCATCAGTACTTCTAAATCGGAAAAGATGTTAACAGCTGCAAAGCCAGTGTCAGGTTGGAATAGAAATAGAGTTAAGTGTCCTGTCAGGCTCAGAGTGGGTCCACGTCACCTGGCTATTATCACTCATCCGCCCGGGCCTAGCCCAGTCCCTGGCTGCCGTGGGGCAGCGTCAGCCTCACCACACCTGTCTGGACCCTTGTTCTGGCAGCCGAGACATGGGCCACCTCTTGGAACCCTGGGACACTTGCAGCGAGGGCAGGGCCAACAGCTTTGACCCACCTTCAGCCAGAGCCAGTCACAAATGCTTCCAGTAAAAACTCACTCACCTCCTCCCACCTGCCAGGCACTGGGGCCACCAGTCAGCACAGTGTCTGTGTTTATAGCGCCCTCCAGAGGATTCGCGCTGCCTCCCCATTCCCCCAGGGCATTCTGGCTCAACCTCAGAGCGACAGGTGACTCTGCCCACAGTCTCCTCAGGGGATGGAGACCCCAGGTGGCTGAGGCCTTCCTGCCTGCTCCCCTGGGCAGCTCTGGAGCCACTTTCTTCTTGGGCGAAGAGGTGGCCGCAGTCTCCTTTCAGCTGCCCTTCACTGGATGGCAGGTGAGGTTGGGGTGCGGAATGCAGAGAGAGGCCCCTGCAGCAAGGCTTGCCTCTGGTCTGTGGTGAATCACAGAAGCCCTTCCAGAATTTTCTGCCTACCCATCCCCCATACCATTGTGCAAGAGAGAGAGCTCAGAACCAAGAAGGTCAGACTGTGCATAGACCTTGACCCTCCCGCACGGAGCAGACATGAGCAGGTGACCCCAGCGGGGCCCTTGGCACCCTGGCAGCCCCACTCCCCACCCTGCACACCATCCATGTGTGAAGCTGTCCAAGAACCAAGGCCCTGGGGGCCCTGCCCGTCCCATCCCCGCCAGCCCTGCTCACCAGACTGTAGCTCTTGCTCTAGGGAACACTGCTGGTGGGAGTATTCTGTGGGGCTTGCCATAGACAGTGGTGCCTCCTGGGGAGATGGGGTCCTGGGCAGGGACATAAGGGCAGTATCACTCACACCTGCCCCTCCCTCGGTCACCTGCCCATGCCAGGGTCCGTCACCAGTCGCCCCAAACCTTACCAGGGCCCCTCACCACTGTCACGCACTGCAGCCCAGGAGGGGTCTCTGTGTGACCTGGGAAGGAGGGAAGAAGCAGGCTGCCAAACTGGGGCTGGCATTCAAGCCCCCAGCAATGGGGTCCCGTGCCTGTCTCCCCAGCCTCCCACCTGGCTTGAGGGACCCTGCATTCACTGCTCTCAGCCCCAGTGGCAGGGACAGTCGTGCACATTTACATAGTCCTCACCTCATCCCAGGCACAGAGAGCTGGCAGGTAGTGCAGCAGCCGTGACCTGATCAATGGCTCCTCCGCACTCCAACCTCACCCGGATATGCCTGACCCTGGGGCCTCTCTGCCATCCTGCCCCCACCTGCCCTCTCCCTCTGTCCCCCACAGAACCTGCTGAGCGCCCTCCTTTCCTCAACATGAGCCCCACCCTGGGCCGTCCACCCTGGTCACGCTCAGACCCAGCTTCCAGACATTAGGGCTCACCTGGGACCTTGTTAAAGTGCACCTCTGGTTCAGTGGGTTTGGGGTGGGGCCATATCTGCACTTCTAATGAGCGTCCAGGTGACTCTGTGGCTGCCTCTCTCAGCTCAGCAGCTACCTAGAGGCCCTGGCTGGCTGGCCACAGAGTCACACATGCCCTTGGGGTCCTGAGTGCCTGCCCACCTGGTCAGCCTCTCCGGGCCCCTGGGCTGAGGGAAAGCTCAGGCAGTGTTAGTGGCATTAACTGCCAGGCAGGTTAGGGAGGCCAGTGCCTGCCCTTGTCCCCATCCCCAGTTTGACCAAGCAAGCAGATTTCCCCTGTCCCAGATGCTACAGAGCGCCCGTCCCTTCTGAGACCACACGCCAGTGCCCACTCCACCTCGTCTTCCTGTAGCCCCTCCCCACCCCAGTCTGAGCCGCCACTGCTTCCCCCTATGCAGCACTGGGCCGTGCCACTGCCTGGGACTACATCCTGGGGACATCCTCTCATTGCCACACTCAGTCCTGGCGTCTGCTCCTCCAGGCAGGCTGTTCCTGGCACCCTCCTGAAAGACCTCAGCACCTGGTGGGCTTGTCTCCACAGAGACTTCACAAGGTGGCCACTTGGGGGTTGTCAAAGTATTTGGAGGAGATAGTTTTCTCCAGAAGTTGGACTCCCACCACCACCCGCTCTGCAAATTAGTCCCCTAACTCTTTCATGGAGGGAACGAAAGCTGCACTCAATCCATTCCATTCCATTCCATTCCAATGACAGTGACAGTGACAGTGAGAATGAGTCTGGGGGGCTTCCTGAAGGAGGTGAGTTTCCTGGAGGAGATTCCTGCAGGAATCCAAAGTCAGAAAATCAGACAGCAAACCCAAGCAGTGGTGTTGGGGTGGCCTAAGGTAATCAAGGCCTAACAAGAATGATTGGGCCAGAGAAGGCAGAGGGTAGCTGGAGAGCAGCTGGGACAGGAGCCCCCAGGTCCCAGCAACGTGCCATTTCACCTGCTCCCAACAGTGCCCCTCCTCCCTGTCCTAGTCCAGCAGGACCCCAGCCCAGCTACCGCCTGCCCAGATGCAGACTAGCCCAGAGACCCAGCCCCCTAGCACCTTCCCAGCTCCCACTGCTATCAAGGAAAGAGCCCCCCAGTTCTCCCAGTCCCCCAAGCCCCTGCAGTCCCTCCACTGGCTCCATTTGCCCCGTAGCCAGCCTCGCCACCCCCCCCACCCTCCTGTGAGGCCACAGGAACTTCTTTTCAGTTATTTGAAGGAAGGTGCCTCAGCCCCTCCCAACCTCTGCACGAGCTGTCTGTCCGTCCTCCTGCCCAGAACTCACATACCTCCTCACCCCTCACCTTTAACCTGCTTGCCCCCTGCCCTGCCCTCTGACCCGGGCTAACCAAGAAACACATAGCACACATCAAAAAGACAGTGATTGTTCAGAAAATCATAAAAAGAGAGCTGCCAGCAGGACGGGACTTCCTAAGGTGGCACCAGACCCGGTCAAAGACCAGCACCCCACCCCAAAGAACATAGGATTTGGCTGGGAATCCCCACTTCCAGGAATTTTAAGCTATGGAAAAAATTAGAAATACCTAAAAAATGCACTGCTTAAGGATGCTTTATGTGTTTAAAATAGCCACCCAGGTTCAAAAGCAGAGCCAGAAAGGGTAGTGGTCAGACTATTTAATGACTGGAATTTGCTCAGGCTCCCAGGGCATGAGAAAGTCAGGATTCTAAATTAAAATTAAAGGTTATCTCGGGATGGTGGGATTCCAGGTGATTTTGTGTGTGTGTATGTGAATCAATTTCAAAATTTTCCAGTGTGTCTACAGTGAGCATGGATCACCCTTATCAGAAAAGAAAATGCTCATTTAAAGCCAAAAATGGTATGAGGGTTTTTTTTTATAAAAGGTAAGAAAAAGACATGTGAGCGAACAATACCTGTGGCCCGGGGGGTGTGGGGAGGGCAGCCTGAGGCAGGGTGCAGCGAGGTCCTTGGAGCCTGGGGCCTTGGGGCCTGAGGAGAAGACAGGGAGCCGGGTCTCCCAGGCAGCGGCAGGACACCGGCAGGACACCCTTGCTCCCTCTCAGCCTGGGGCAAACTTGCTGAGGACTCTGGGCTCTGTGGGGACAGCCAAGATCTGAGGAGAATTCCAACCAGGAAAGCTCCACCCCATCTGCCCATCCACCCCCAAGGAGCAGTTGTGTTTTGGGCTCTCTGAAAGTCACCCAAATGCCAGGAGAGGCTGTGAGCTGAGGAACCCAAGGAGTGTGTCAGACAGCTCAGAAAAGGCATCACTCTCTGGGGTGGGGGTTGTGTGGGACTGGGTCCCAGAGAGGTCTCTTCTCCACCAGGGGGTGTTTGGGAAGCGTTTTGAAGGAATCCCTGAGTTCCCACTGTAGGGTTTGATCCTCAGCTGCCTGGGACAGATTTTGAAGTGCCTAAGGGTACTTAGTGGACCAGTTTTGAGACCAGGCTGCCCAGGGCCCCCCAAGGTGGACAAGCAGTGGTCATCGGCTGGAGTGGCAATGGGTACCTCCCCGAAGAGAGTCCCCACTGGGAGGCAGCAAGTCACTATCTCCAGGGGTCAGTAGGGACTGAGTGCCGGGAAAGGCTGTCCAGAGCCCAGGGGATTTGAGCTGCTGGTTTCCAACAGCCGCTGCCTGGAGAATTCCGTCCCCAACCGACGCTGAAGACAGTTGAAGGAATTCTGAGCACACATGGCCATGAGGCATAGAAGGAAACCCAGGAAGCCACTGCATCCTGACCCCAGCAGGGGCCCCTGGACCTCTGGGCCCCTGGGAAGGGCTCCATGGAGGGGCTCCTCTGCTGAGAGACCCTCACTCACTCCTGACTGGCGCCAGGAAGACACCAGCGAGAGGGTTTGCCACCTGAGCTCGCTGGGTCGTTCGTGGAGAGCGTTTCCTTCCTGGGGCCCTCTGCTCAAGCAGCTCTGCTCCCAGACAGCTGCCTGAGACCCTGTTCCAGGATTGTCTGAATATAAAACTGGTCTAGCGGCCTTGGGGATGCAGCCTCCCTCGTGTAGGATGAACCAGGACATTTTTGGTGGGATTCTCCCCAGTGCCACCAGTGGGCTGGTTGGGGGCGTGGCTAAACCAGCAGCCACTGTGAGTCTGAAGTGTCACCAGCAAACCCTCCCCCCCAAACTGGGGACACTCTGGTGCTGGGGAGGTGCCCCTCAGTGCCCACTACTGGGACACAGCCGCTCCACTGTGGCTTGAGCCCCAGCAGAGTCTTCCTAAACAGTCTGAAGGGACAGCCTCCCTGAGGAAGCTGTGCTGGTGGACAGGTTGTATTTGTTTAAAGAGTTCTCTGAGGGACACTTAGCACCACCAACCTCCCCACCCCCCTGTCCACCCCTCACCCTCCCACAGGACACGAAAGGTTCTTTATCATGAGGATATCTCGGCTTCATAACTGGTGCCAGGGATGCCTTCAGGGGAGTTTGTAACCAGCGGTGTGGCTGTGTTTCTTGAGGCAGAGAAAACTCAGGAGCTGTGACCTGCTTAAGTGAGGAGGGCCACCCTCCATGGGCAGCACCCAGAGCCGGGGCCTCGCCCACATTGGGGCTGGTGGGCAGAGAAGGGCAGAAGACCGTCACTGGGGAAGGGTGTGTGGCAGGTGTGACCCTGGAGAGCCCCACGCCGACAGCTGCCCATGGAACCGAATGGGGCTCTGAAGAGAACCGGGTGACTGAGGCCTCGGCCTGGGGCCCAGTCTGGCTGGGTCAGTTGGAAAGTGGCCCTGGGACTGCTCAGGCCGCCGTCTCCAGGGATCTTGTCTCTCCCCGGAACCCTGAGGGGCCAGCTGCCCCTCTGGCCCCTGACAGGACCAGTGGGCCCCTCCTTCCCCAGCTTCTGGAGGATTTTGGCAGGTGAAGGTGTGTTGGCACAGAGGTGGGGAGGGATAACTTCCCTGGCCCAGCCCAACCCAGGCCCTTGGGCTCTGGAGGGACATAGTTGTCCCCATCCTCATGATGGCAGCTCGCGACCATCTGCCCACTGGAAGAGGCTCTAGAAATAGCCCTGGGGTGTGTCATGGGAAGACTTGCTAAAGACCCCCCACACCCCAGGTCCCCTGGGGTAGAGCCGGCTCCCTGCCTGGCACCCTGGGGGACATAGGGGCCCTCAAAGACTCCTAAATGGGCAAAAAAGCCATCTGGGGGAGGGGCAAGGGGCGTGGGCCCTCAGCAACGTGTTTTGCAACTCTGGGGTCTCAGGCAGCAGTGGGAGGCAGCCCTTCCCAGGGCAGCGCATGCTGTTCAGTGGCTGGTTCAGAGCAGAGGTGTGGAGACAGGGACTGCATCAAGAGGCACAGCCCAAGTGCCAAGCAGAGGGCAGCACTAGGGAGAGGCCACAGTCCCTTGCCTGGAGCAGCCCAATCCCACCCTGGGGAACCCCAGCTACCGTGGAGTGACCAAGGCAGAGACTCAGGCCCTGCGCAGCACACCCTGAGGTATTCAAAGAGCCCAACCCTGCTGAGCAGGCCCCGCCCATCCCTTGCAGGCAGCCTCAGCCCCCACCCAGAGCTGGGAGCATGGAGGGGCCAGCCTGGAAAGAAGCCACATCCTGCTTCCCAGGGGCTCTGCCCACCCCTTGGCTCAGCCCAGGAGGGCCCAGGAAGGAGGAAGAGGGGCTGGGCCTGGTGGTGTAAGGGTGCCCAGAACCTGGAAATGTGGCAGAAGGGGTCCTGCTAGGGGTGGGGGGTGAGGGCAGTGGGACCAGGCAAGGGCTCCATGTGAGACAAAGGCTCAAGGACCCTGAGCATGGATGGGGACAGTGCCCACCGTGGTTGGGGTCAGCTGTCAGCCTAACCAGGGCCTAAGGGGTGATTCTTAGAGAGTGGAAATCATCGAGACTAACACATCTCAGGTTTGTGGTATCATTGACATGCCTGTGGTGTGGCCAACACACTCTGTTTCAGAGGACCAGGGATAGTGACTGAGAGGTCTGAAGGAAGCTAGGGGATGGCTCAAGAGTGGGGACAGAGCACAGAGCCCGGGTGCAGAGCATGCTGAAGAAAGTCTAGTGCTTTCGGGGAAGTAACTAGAGAGCAAGGGTAGCCGTGAGGCTTATGGAGAAAGAAAGGCAGAATTGCAGTGGGGAGGACCAGCAGGAAAAGCAGGCTGAGATGAGGGAGTCTCCACTTTGGCCAGGCTGAGGTCAAGGCGCTTGTGAATGAGCAGGGCATTCAGCCACAGGACCCCAGAGCAGCGTCCAGGCCAGGGACTGAGCCCGAGGGAGAAGAAGCTCCGTCCCAGGGGCAAGAAAAAGAGGCAGAGACAGGCTGGGGGTTGGGAGGGGCCCGGGAGAAGGGCTGGGTTGGGGTGGTGGGGTCTACGATCCCAGCCACCCCATCGAGTGTCTGTGGAAGGGCTACCACCGAGAGGCCCTGGGCTAGCTGCTGAGTCCTCATGTCCCCAGAACTTTTGTCGTCATTCCTCAGTGGGCACCCATCACTACTAAAGGCGTTGGAAAATCCAGAATGGGGTATATGGAAATCTAGATTTACCATTAGATACGAGGGCAGAGGCTGGGCAGCCTGGGATGCCCGAACTGCTTGCTTCACAAAGGGCACACCAGGCCCAGAGAGGGGCTCACTCTGCCCAAGGCCACATGCTGTGCTAGTGGTAGCTGATTTGTGCCTTTTACCTGCCTGCTTCTCACCCGAGGTCCCCGCGTGGGACTAGCGGGCCTGGGAGAGGGACAGCAGAGGCAGCATGGAACTTGTGCTTGAAGGATAGATCCCTTCTTGGTGGGGAGAGACAGGGTGGGAGAGAACGGACTCTGAGTCTCTGAGTCCTGCTGCAGCCCACGGCTCCCAGCGCCCGGCTGTCACCAGCTGACTCATTTATTCAGCACAGAATAATCGAGCACCCAGAATGTTCTGTCCCCCATCAGCTTGGGAAAGAGAGAAAAAGATGAGATGAAGGCAATGTTCACCGTTAAGGGCTCATGGCCCAGTCAAGGAGAAAGACCCGTTCTGGGAGAGCCATTCAAAAAGGCAAGTGCCTGGTGGACACAGTTTTTGCCTGGGAAAAGCTGGACAGGCCTCATGGAGGAAGGGGCATTTGAACCGGGGCTTGACGCACAGATAGGAGTTTGCCAAGTAGTGAGGAAGGAAAGGTATCACAACTTAGGAAACAGTATGCAAAAGCCCGGAGTGGGAAGGGCCAAGCAAGTCTGGGGCAGGAGTGTTGGGGGTGTGGGCAAGCACAAAGAGGGAGAGTGTTTGCAAGGGAGGCCCACGAGGCTTATGTGGGGGGAAGTAGGTTGGTGTCCATTTGTGACGTCCTTTAAAAATGCAGGGCTCAGGAGTCTAGGTTTTGTCTTATGGCAAAAGGAAAATTTCTGGTTTCAAAATAGCGCAGTGGGAAAGGCCACGCTGGGGACAGCCATGAAAGGAACCTGTTGACAGGGAGACAGGAGGTGGCCAGGCCAGGCAGGAGTCTCAGGGCCACTTCACTTCCTTCCACTTGATTCAGCCATCCCTCAGTGGTCACTATGGCATCCATCTGGCCCAGGCTGGGAGACAGCACAAGGTGTGGCAATGACCCCATCAGGTCCAGTACTTCCCCCTGCATCTCTCATCCCCTGCCCACTCAGGGGGCAGCAGCTCCCGCCGAGACGTTCTCCCCATCTCACCTCACCTGCCACCTGCTGTCTTGTTTCCCGGCCTCCCCCTTTCTGCCTGATTCTGGCCCCCCAAAGCCCCAGAGCTGGGCAGGCAGAGCGGGAGCAGGGCCTGGTTAGTGGGATGGGGCACAGGGGTCAGGCCCGAGCCCTGAGCCTGGCAGGGCCCCTGCTGCAGCCAGTCTCTGCAGCAGTGTCTTCCTGAGCCCTACGGTGGCCCCAGCTGTGCCAGGTGTGACGTGTAGCAATGAGCAAATTCCACTGGCTGGGAGCTCAAACCCAGCTCCTCCACCCATGCCACATGGCCTTGAGCAGATTACCGAACTGCTCTGTGCCTGGTTTCCCCACCCGTGAGACAGCACCTACTGC